TTGTGAACAAACTTTGACACTGATTCGGAGATAATGTTAAAGTTACAAATGTTATATTGTCTTAATTCATATAGTGTTTATGTTTTTTTAATTATTTAAATTGTTTCTTTCTAAATTAAATTTATTCATTAAGAATTCATTCAGAATTACCACTCTAGTAATACTAGGTGCACAACTAAGTTTCCGGGTTTTACACATGGATGGCGCTGACGACATATGTAGTCGACATACATGTCTGAAGTTGTGTTTTTTATAGCTTGGACATCTGTTAACAATAACCAGTCGTAATACCAACACATTTCGTAACGCAAAAATATTTTTTCTGACAACGAAGATGTCGAGTTTTGTGCCGAATAAATAGCATTTGCGGGAAGTTTTGCTTTTCTGCTTTAACTTTAAAAAAAGTGCAGCTGAAGCACATCGTTTGCTTGAGGAGGCCTACGGCAAACATGTACCATCGAAAACTACCTGTGAAGATTGGTTTAAACGCTTCAGAAGTGGCGATTTCGACACTGAGGACAAGAAGCGCTCCGAAAGACCAAAAACAATTGAGGACGCCGATCTGCAAGTGTTATTGAATGAAGATGATACGCAAACTCAAGATCAATTTGTTGAGGCATTAAACATGATTCGCCAAGGTATTTCCAAACGTTTACATGCCATGGGAAAAATTCAAAAGGAAGGAAAATGGGTGCCGCATGAGTTGACTGAGAGACAGATGGAAAATCGAAGAGCCACTTCCGAAATTTTGCTTTTGCGGCATGAAAGAAAGAGTTTTCTGCATCGAATTGTTACTGGCGATGAGAAGTGGATATATTTCGAGAATCCCAAACGCAAAAAATCGTGGCTTTCACCTGGCGAAGCATCAACATCGACGGCACGGCCAAATCGCTTCGAAAAGAAGACATTACTCTGTATTTGGTGGGACCAGAAAGGAATCGTGTACTATGAGCTGCTGAAACCGGGCGAAACTGTCAATGGGCATCGCTACCGACAACAACTGATCAATTAGAACCATGCATTGCTCGAAAAACGGCCAGAATGGGACACGAGACACGAACGAGTGATATTGCAGCACGACAACGCTCCGTGCCATCGCACTTTCATCGTCCAGGACACCATCAAAACGCTGAAATGGGATCTGCTACCGCACCCGCCGTATTCGCCAGACCTAGCCTCTTCCGATTATCACTTGTTCCGGTCGATGGCGCACGGCTTGACTGGGCAACACTTGGCCAATTTCGAAGAAGTGCAAAATTGGTTGGATGAATGGTTTCGGTCTAAAGACGCGTCGTTTTATCGTTGCGGTATTCATGAATTGCCAGAGAGATGTCAAAAATATATAGCTAGCAAGGGACGATACTTTGAATAAACCATTTTTTGTATTTCTCTTGAAATTTTCCATTTTTCATTGATCAAAAAAACCCGGAAACTTAGTTGCGCACCTAGTATTTGTCAGACAATGTTGAATAAATGATACGATTTTATATTAATGCCAGCATTGAAATATTATTATAACAACTTCAAAGTGTATAATGTTAATTCCAATGTTTATTTAAATTGCTTTTGATATTTTATTCTGATTATACAGGGCGAAGCGCCTAAAATAGTCCATTTAAATAACTTCAAAAATACGCAAAATAGAAACAATATTAAATACAGAAGTTGTAGAATTTTAATGTATCACATAGTGATACTAATATGACTGCATCATCAAGGGAAAGTCATCTTGAATTTTTTAAATAGAAACTTCTATTTTTTATCATATCATCTTTTCTACTAATTAATTTGATTATTTTTATCTGAAACATCTTTTTATTTACATTTTTTAACATGTTTTCAATAAATTTACGAAATATATATTGGTAATACATAAAAATAAATGTTGAAATACGGTTAATATTAATGAAAAAATGTAAAAAGTGAACTCCTTTTGAGAAAATGTATATAGTCTGTCTCAGATCCAATGAGACTGGTCTAAAAAAAATACAAAGCGTTTATTATTTTGCTTTTTTATTCTTGTTTATTCAAAATAGTCTCCTTCTGAGTCAATACAGCGCTGGAAACATTCAACAAATTTTTCGAAACATTTTTAAATCGGCTGGAATGGCCTTTAGTATGGCGGTCGAAGTCTTTTGCATGACCGGGATAGTATCGAAACGATTTCCTTTCATCGCCAATTTCAGTTTGGGAAATAGCCAGAAGTCGCACGGAGCCAAATCAGGTGAATACGGTGGATGATCGATAACAATGATGCCTTTTTTGGTCAAGAATTCACGTACCATGATGGCTTTGTGCGATGGTGCATTATCGTGCAACAAAAACCAACTGCTTGGCTCTCGATATTCCGGTCGAACTCGTCGAATTCTGGCCCACAATCGTTGTAGAACTCCCAGATAATATTCTGCGTTCACCGTCTGACCTTCTGGGACGAATTCACTGTGAACAATTCCCTTTGAATCGAAGAAAACGGTCAGCATTGTTTTGATTTTGATCTTCTGAAAGCGTAATTTTTTCTCTTTTGGCTCTTCTGGTGACTTCCATGCCGCACTCTAACGTTTTGTTTTTGGCTCGTATTGAAAATACCACGTTTCATCACCAGTTACAATGGCTGACATGCTTGCCGCATTCCTTCGGGACATTTTTAACATGTCTTTGCAATGCTGAACTCTCCAATCTTTTTGGTCGTCTGTCAGAGTGTGTGGCACGAAGCGCGCAGACAGACCTTCCGTCTGCCCAAATCTTCGGTCAAAATTCGATAGACTGTGCTTTTCGATATCCCAGTTTCCTCTTCGATGAGTCTCGCAGACACACAGCGGTCGCTTCGAAGAATTTCTTTGACTTCCTCGATGTTTTCTTCATTGCTGAGTGGTTTTTGGCGGCGGTGCTCGGTCATCGTCTGCAAGGTCCTCACGACCGTCACGGAATCGGCGAAACCAACGGAAAACCTGTGCACGGGACATGCATTCATCCCTGTACACATTTTTTAGCGTTTCGTACGTTTCTGCACCACTTTTACTCAATTTAAAACAGAATTTAATATTCGCTCTTTGTTCCATGTTGGTTTTTCGACCAACGTACACAAAGTGACTTTAAATAAAATGTCAAACCACAGTGAAATATCAATCGATTTCGCTCAAATTTTGAGGTTAAGTAGATGAAGGGTAGAACATTCACCTACCATCATTCACTCATAGATGTCGCTGCGTTAAGAACTTTGATGGGACCAGTCTCATTGTATCTGGGACAGACTGTGTATTCTTTTCAATTCAAAATATATATTAATTTCATCATTCTTAACTTCTTCACATTTTACTTCTATTAGTATTCTTCTCATAAAAATTAAACGTACTAAACTTTATGTCTATTAATAAGTATTAAAGTAACATGTATTGATTTCCTTAACATCTCTACATCATTTTATAAAAAGTTTGAAAGATTAAAAAAAATATATTTTGTGTTATAATTGTTAAATTTTTACCAGTAAATTATGAAATAATCATATTAAACTTGCATGTAAGGATTGAAACTCATTGTTACAGGAGTGAATATATCAGGTTGTCTAAAAAGTATTGAGCCTTTTCCGCACGAGATAGCGTTAGTGTCTCAAATCTCAGAGTATATGAGTTGCAACAGGTCAGGTCTAACATCATTTGACAGGTAACAGTTGAAACTATTAGACGTACAAGAAGTGTTGGAATTCTTATAATCAGACGTAAGGTATTGCGCCGTGAAAATGAGTGAACTTACCGCAAAACTGTGATATATTTTACAATTTTATTTCGATAAAGGCGCAAATGCTGCGCAAGCCTGTGAAGAAATTTGTACTGTTTATAGGCAAGATATGTTATCAAAAGCAACAGCCAAAAGATGGTTCAGTCGCTTTGGTTCTGGAAATTCAATGTCCAAGATGCTCTTCGTAGTGGGCGACAAAAAGAAAAACACAGAAAAAGTGGGTGATATTCTGGCAAAAGTCGAGCAAGACCGGCATGTAAGCAGTCATGACATCGCCAATGACCTAAATATCCATCACCAAACAGTGTTAAATCATTTGGAAAAAGCTAGCTACAAAAAGAAGCTCGATGTTTGGGTGCCACATGATTTGACTCAAAAAAATCTACTCGATCGAATTTCTATCTGCGAATATCTACTAAAACGTAATGAAGTCGAGCCATTTCTGAAGAGGTTGATCACGAGTGATGAAAAGTGGATAACCTACGACAATAATAATCTACGACAACAATGCGAAAAAGATCGTGGTCGAAGCGAGGAGAAGCTCCACAGTCTGTGTCTCACAATAACGCCCAGGAAGGTTATGCTGTGTGTTGGGTGAGATTGGAAGGGCATCGTGCATCACAAGCTGTTACCGCTAGGCAGAATGATAGACTCGGACCTGTACTGTCGACAATTAGCGCGATTGCACCTAGCAATTCAAAAGAAACGGCCGGAATTGGTCAATAGGAAGGGTGTGTTATACCACGCTAACAACGCCAGACCGCATACATCTTTAATGACCCGTCAGAAATTGAGAGAACTTGGCTGGGAGGTTTTAATGCATCCACCGTATAGCCCGGACCTGGCACCGTCAGACTATCGTTTGTTTCGGTCTCTGCAGAACTCCTTGAATGGTGTTAAGTTAGTTTCAAAAGAGGCCTGTGAAAACCATATGTCACAATATTTTGACCAGAAACCACAGAAGTTCTATAGCGACGGGATTATGGTGTTGCCGGAAAAATGGCAGTAGGTCATCGAACAAAATGGTGCATATGTGGTTTCATAATGTTATTTTCAAATAATAATAATGTATTGTCAATTTGACCTCCAAAGGCTCAATACTTTTTAGGCAACCTAATATTATCTTGACAATTTTATAGTTTCAGTAATAGAATATATATTTTTAACGAATTTGTTACGTAGACAAATTGTTGTAAACAAATAAATTGAAACAGTCATACTTACCAATTACTATGATTTAACTGAATCAAATTTTTATTTCGCAGCCGAAGATTATGAAGAACATGACTGAGACCATGGAGCAACTTTTGGATCGACCTTCCGTTAAAGCTGTAATTGTAGACGCCGATGTGAACTGCAATTGGGCAAAGATGGCTTTAGCTATATCATGTCTTAAACGTGAAGAAGTAATCTATTTAACAGGAGCGCCGGATGTTTGGTTGGGCGACAAACAAAAAAAAGTTTTAGGTTAATATTAATAATATTGTTCGAATAAAAATTTTGGCTCTAATTTTCTTTACCCAATATATTCAAATATTTAGTGACCCTGTGCCTCTTATAAATGATTACATATTGGACACATTTATTATTTCTGTCATTGAAATATACCATAAGAAAGCTTCTTATAAGTCATTATTCCTTTACGTCTATATAAAAAGTAGAATTTAAACAATAATATTGCTTTCACACGACGAGGTACAAAGAGCGCGTGTTTTTGACATAGAGTAAAATTTACATGAAATCTATTGTCATATCAAATTGACTATGTAATAAAATATTTTCTTTTGTCGCCAGCTTTAGGGCCAATAATAGATCTAATCAGCAAATGTAGCGGAAAAAAACCTACTACATGTTGTAAACCTGGCCAAATCTTGAAAGATTATATTTTGAACATATGCAACATAAGCAATCCTCAAAGATGTTTATTTATCGGTGACACGTAAGTGATAATAAAATGTTCTAAGTCTCACTGTACATACATATTTTTACGTATATATTTTTGCATACATACGAAACTTATATTTGCAAATTTATATTACATTACATGCATGAAATATGAAATTATTGATATACATACGAGGACGGTCCGATAAGTACTTAGCCTCACCGCCCGATGGCTCCACTATCGCAAGAGAAATTTACTATCGTGTAGTACATTCTCGTAGACGGCTACTGTCGAAATTTCAGCCGAATCGGACTCGTAGTTTTGTTTTGACCGCGTGTGGAAGCGGGCGTGTCCGCGGATTTTAGAAAAATGGAAAAAGAGCAATATCGGTCGGTGATTCGATTCTTGTTTTTGGAAGGGAAATCGCGCAGCGAAATCAAAGAGCGCTTGGATGCTGTGTACGGTGACTCTTCTCCTTCGATGGCGACCGTCAAAAATTGGTTTAACGAGTTTCAACGTGGTCGCACGTCGGTTTTTGATGAGCCACGCCCAGGTGCCCCGAAAACGGCTACCACGGAGGATAGCATGACAAAAATCCACGATCTTGTATTGGTAGACCGCCGATTGAAGGTGCGCGAGATAGCTGAGACAGTAGGCATCTCAAAAGACCGCGTGGGTCATATCCTGCATGAAATTTTGGGCATGAGAAAGCTGTCGGCGCGATGGGTGCCGCGTTTGCTCACTCCGGACAACAAGCGCAACCGTGAGACCACTTCAGAGCAGTGTTTGACGCTGTTTAAGCGCAATCCGAAGGAGTTTCTGCGTCGTTTCGTGACCGTCGACGAAACATGGATCCACTGGTACACACCAGAGACCAAGGAACAGTCGAAACAGTGGACTTCACCCGGCGAACGTGCTCCGAAGAAGGCAAAGACTGTCCTATCGGCCGGAAAGGTGATGGCCACCGTTTTTTGGGATTCACAAAGTGTGATCTACATCGACTACCTGGAGAAGGACAAAACGGTCACAGGGCTGTACTATGCCGAATTATTGGGCCGATTCGACGCCGAATTGCAGAAAAAAAGGCCCCATTTGGCGAAGAAAAAAGTGCTCTTCCACCATGACAACGCATCGGCTCACACCTCCACCCTCGCCACGGTCAAATTGGTCGAATTGGGCTATGAACTGCTGCCTCATCCACCGTATTCTCCAGATTTGGCCCCGTGTGACTTCTTTTTGTTTCCAAACTTGAAAAGTCACTCGCCGGGCAGAAATTTGAGTCGAATGAGAAGGTCATCGCCGCCACGGAGGCCTACTTTGCAGACCTCGAGAAAACGTATTTTTCAGACGGGTTAAAGAAGTTGGAGCATCGCTGGGTCAAGTGTATCGAGCTAAAAGGAGACTATGTTGAGAAATAAATCGCCACTTTTCCAAAATTTTCGTTTTTCTTTTGTAAGCTAAGTACTTATCGGACCACCCTCGTATATTCGTATTGCACAATTACTTTTTTTTTTATTTGAACTAAACTTGGGAAAATTATTTGCAAAGAGTAAAGCGTTATTGTTATTCGTTATTCATCGAAAAAGTAACTCATTGTTGTTACTTTTAATTTACTAACAAAAAAAAAGGGTCATTACTGTTGTTGTTACTCAACTTATTGTTATTCGTTACTCGTTATATTTTTTTACTGACTATACTTAAAGGTAACAAAAATGTCAGATTCGTTTAACCAGATTTATTTAACCAAATTTTCAAGATTTAGGGACCATAGAAACAGTGGTAAAAGGTTTACCACAAAATTGGTTTACCGTCATTTTAAGTTACTTCCTAAAGATTGCCAACAAAATCCTCTTGCCATTGTATTCTTAAGGCCATAGAACATAAACCTGCAAGTTTGGTTGAGCAACTTTGTGTTTGACACTTTTATTGATTTTAGGCATGATCCTTCCGAAAATCTTATTTTGAAAATTCACTTCTGTCTATTCTATTAATATATATTTGTATTTTATTTGTGCAAAATAACGATTATATTCATTAGTTGTTGATCGAAAAATATAATTGCATAATTGTTATCATTGCTAATGAAAAACAAAATAACGTCGTTACTAACTTACCGAACGTCATAAAAAAAATATACCGTAATGGCAATGACGTTACAAATAACGCATTACTTTTCAGTTTCGATTTTAACATGTCACATCGAATAATATTGTGAAGTAATGTCTTGTTTATTTAAAAAAATAAATATAGGATTCAACAGGATATGAAGTTCGCTTCAATATGCGGATTCACGAAGCTATTTGTAGAAACGGGAAACGATACCTTGGAGGATGTACAAGAGGAGGATACTCGCCCCGACTACTATATTTCCAGTTTAGGTCAACTATTTACTGCTTTCAAGGAAACTCAAAAACAGCATACCACCAATCACGAGATTTGATTTATTAATTTTTCATTAGAAAAAGGAAAATAAATTCACTTTTAACACAATTTTCGAAGGTGATTGTCTATTTTATTTATTAATTATCAAAACACTAATAATCAAAACAAAATTATTAAGAGATCATCTGTCATGGTGATTACCGATAACCGGAGTTATAATATTGCTGCATGTCATATTGAATAAAGAATAAAGTTTATATTATTTAATTTAAGGTATAACATTTATACTTTTGCATGACATTAATGAATTAAAAAAAGGAAAGTTTACTGCTTTTACAACATAAAACATCTCTCTAAACCTCATTTTTAGTTTAGTTTTTTAGTCATTTTACTTTATATCTCTTTAAATTGTGATATAAAAGCCATAAACAATAGCATTAAACAACGGATTCGTATTAGTGATAAAAAATACGTCGAAAATGATATGCAAAATAAGGTTAAAATTTGTCAGATAGTATAATTAGCAAAAATAATCAATGGAGAAATCATTATGACAAAGTGAGCGTGTTGAACTTGCAATCAATATAGCAATATATTTTAAGAATCCTTCTCAGTTTAGAAAGTTGAAAAAATCGATATTTTTTCATAAATTGATAGTTTTAGTTATGCAGAATAACGTTTTAAATAATTTTTTCAATATATTGTTGTGTCCGTGCTATAAGGTGTGTGGCAGTGTCCCTTGTCCGCGAGCCTCAGGCATCTGATATAGATTTCGATAGTTGAAGAATGATTGTCTGGACGACGAAAAATCGATGGAAAAACAACAACAGCGGAGAGTCGCACACGAGCCATCGTCGAAGGCTGACGTGTGGCGATTGTATTCTCGAGTTCTATTTTGAGCGTCAGAAGGTTGTAAATATCTCTGTAAATATTAGAAGTAAAGCGTAGCTTTTATAAAAGTGTTGTGTTGTTAGCTTATTTCACGAACTCGGTATGCGCGAGACAGTCGCGTGTAACAATATAAAATATTTTCAAAGTTATTCAAGTTAGGCCCGTGCAAGTCATAACGCGTTCAGGTCAAAAAGGGATGCAGCCGCCTGTTAGTCGGGTTCCACATCTATATGCACTCATACAGTTGACTCATTGTATTCGGAGAAAATCCCTCATTTCAAACTAGTGTTAGTTGTCCCTTATAATCATTAAATAATGAAGGTCCTATATATTAGTAGGGTCAGTTTATTTCTGAGCATTGTTATGAAGAGATATATACTCAGTGGTTCGTTTCGAAAATATGAATAGGAAACACAGTTCTAACGACTGGCAACGTCCGTTACATATGCGGAAACGAAAGGTTCATGGTAATAAATATACTATCGAAGCAGAAACTAGTTTTGCTAGTACGTCAGCGGAAAAAATTATAGATAGTTTAAATGAAGAGTTTGTAATTAACAAAATGCACGGGTAACGCTTAATAAATTTTATAAAACTAATCTATAAAATCAACCTATGAAGATTTAAGGGGTTATATATATAGTCAGGAGACCAAAAAAGTGAGATTTTTGATGATTTTTTCTAAAAAAATTAAAAAGTTTTCATTTTTTACAAATATATACATTTGAAAAAGTAACATTTTAAGAATGTCCAAAAATTTTTTGGAATCGAAATTTTAATTCATAAGCATGTAGTAGCCAGTCTCTGCAGGTGCCCTTTTAAAAAATGTAATGTGCGGTGAGCAACGTAACTGAAAGCCTAATCATCTGAAATGAAAAAATCAAACAGATTTCATTAGTATATAATAATAGCTAGTAATTAATCGTTCGGTTTTGCAAAAAATTCATTTATAACAAAATGGCGATTTTTTTACATTAATGTTTTATTTTTTATTAAAAAAATTGCCTATTTTCTGATTGTAAAATAGAAAATATTTATCGGAAAAATGAATCCAACGACTAATCACGAGATGTTTATATTTAAAATAAGTACATAAAATTTCAGAGTGATCGGTGCTGTAGTTTTCAAGATATCTTGCTCACCGACTTTGAAAATGTCATTTTGAGAAAAACGCGTTCAAAGTTTCTAGTTTAGTTCAACTATTTTTAACAGCAAAATTTTGCAATTTATCTGTAGGCGGCAATTCCGGAATTGAAGTATCTTCCATCAGTGGCAGCATTGCTCCACGAAGACCTCTGTTGACAGCGAGCAATTTTTCCTTCGCGCGTCGTTTCTTGCGCTTGTACTCAGCCACATCAATGCGCATTTGGTCTTGATATTCACAATATGTGGCATAATTGTGACCAATATTGATTTCTAATGCATGCATTATTAAGGAATAAAGTCACTCTAGGATTTTTGGAAAATCGATTTTTTTGCTTAAAAAATGCTTTAGGGCCTTAAAATAAGAAATAATAGGTTTTATAGCAAGAAAAAATCCCAAAAAGATCGTTTTCGTAAGTTGCGCCAAGGCACCCCGTTGTGCGCTTTAAGCACTTTTGACTCGGTTCGTTCGAATCAGAACTTTTTATAATCACTTTATCTGATAAGGATTAGTTACCTACAAATTCCAGGATAGTCTAAGATTCATAGAGTAGCTTATAGATGGCACAAGTAGTATAAATACAGTAAAGTTTATTGTACAAATAGTACAGCCATTGACAGGACGCCGTTCGCATGCCGCTTTGCTTTATGTACTTTTTCTGTTAAAAATATTGGCTTTTACTTTATTATTAGTTATTACACATTAGTAATAATTAATAAAAATGAGTGACAAATCGCATTGTCGTGATCGCAAGGGATCAAAGAAGAGTAGGATTTTCAAAGAGACCGAAATATAGGCGTCCGTTGAACATATTTGAAATGGAGTCGCCGCAGCCCGAGAGCGTCAATACTAGCGTCTACTAAAAAGCTGAAGCTGTCTGAAGATGCTCGTAACGTTGAAGTAAATGAAATGTTTAGCTATCGTTTAATAAATTTTGTGGCCATGTTTTCTACAATTTCAGAAGTTGTGTGCAAAAAATTCAAGTCAAACGTGACATTTACCGAAAGTGACAAACGCGGACTAGGATTCAAAATCGTTATTTCTTGTGCAAATTGTGATAAAATTGAAATTTCCAATAGTCCATTTGTTGATCATGCATATGAAATTAATCGAAAAATTATTCTTGCCATGCGATTATTGGGCATTGGTTTAAATGGAATACAAAAGTTTTGCGCATTTATGGATCTTCCGCGGTCGATTTTTCACTCATTTTATGATAAATTTATTCGCACTATTTTTAGTGCAATGGAGATTGTTTGTAAAGTTACCATGCAAAAAGCAGCACAAGAAGAGAAAGTGAAATGTACTGAAAATGGACAGATAAATGGATTAATAGTATCAGGCGATGGTACTTGGAGAAAACGCGGATTTTCATCTTTGTTTGGATTGGTGACGCTTATTGGATGGTTTACTGGAAAATAGATATCCTGGTAAAATCCAAGTACTGCAAGGCTTGCGAGCATTCAGAGAAAGAAGCTGCCACTGAAGAGTATGCTGAGTGGTCTGAAATATATAAAAACTAATTCCAAGCAAATCACGAGGGGTCAGCAGGAAAGATAGAAGTCGATGCGGTTATTGAAATATTTAAGCGCTCTGAAAGTTTACATCAAGTGCAGTATGGCAGTTACATAGGAGACGGCGACTCAAAAACTTTCAAAGGAATCCTAGATGTTGAGTCCTATGAGAATTTAACTGTACAGAAAAAAAGAATGCGTCGATCACGTGCAGAAGAGAATGGAAACTCGGTTTCGAAACCTGAAAAAAAAAGTAAAAAGTCTCAGCGGAAAAGGGAAGTTGACAGGTAAATTCATTGATGAGCTGTCCATTACTATGGTTTAGCCATTTGAAGAAATCATGATTCTGTCGAAAAAATGAGGAATGATATATGTACGATGCTTTATCATAAGTTGTTGACAGACGAAAAGCTGCAGCACGATAAATGCCTGCCCGAGAATCCGTGGTGTTCATGGCAGAAGGCAAAAGTGACCAATACCTTGGCTGATTTTAAATACAAGCCAGCTCTTCCAATTGAAGTTTTTAATGCCATCAAGCTGATTTATGAAGAACTGAGCAGTGATGATCTCCTTAACCGATGCATAGGCGGCTATATTAAAAATAGTAATGAGAATTTTAATGCCACTATTTGGTCAATGGCTCCAAAAACACTCTCAAGTGGGAAAACTGTGCTTGATATTGCAACAAATCTTTCCGTGTGCAACGATAGTTTATCGAGTATTATGCATGTTATGCAGATATTAGGCATAATCATCGGGCCTAATTGCTTTAACTTCTGCGTGGAGACCGACGAACGCCGCATTAAGTTTTCAGAGCGATCGCTGACTGATGCGGCAAAAAAGGCTCGGCTCTCTTTAAAATCAGACAGGAAGAAAGAGAAAGAGGAGAATATTAATTTGGAAAGTCAAATATATGGTGCTGGCATTGGAGATTAAAAGTAAATTGAAAATTTCGATTGTTAAATGTTAATTAAAACGTTAAATGCGTTTTTCTCGAAACCACGTTTTTTCAATCGGCCGGAAACATAACACTAGTAAATCTGCACCGATTCACTTAAAATTTTAACGTTAGCTTCTTAAGTGCATTCTCCATAGAACCTCGTACGGATTTTGCGATTAGTTATACATTTTTTTAGTTACAAACAATTTTTATGTGATTTTTTGTTTAAAATTGAAACTTTTTGTTCAAATGTGTATCATTTTTTAAAAAAACGGTATTTTTAAATTCCCGCATGAGGTTCTATAGCTCCTTATACATATTTTTTAAAAACCTTTGGATTTTTGTCCTAGGTTGAAAACTGTGGAAAAAACCTTTCCAGTCGCGGAACGCTTTGTGCGAAAGCTGTTTTGCGGTCCTGGGCTCTGACGCCGCCATTTTGAATTAAAAAAATAAAAAAAAATTTTTTTGTATTCTTTAAACTATACATGATAAGGTTTTCTAACTAGATTTTCTACTGCTCTTATTATATTCCTTAAAAAAATTCTCAAAATTAGCGTTTATTTTGAAGAGCTGGCTTTACCCTTTAAATACACAGTCTGTCTCAGATACGATGAGACTGGTTCCATCAAAGTTCTTAGCGCAGCGACATCTATGAGTGAATGATGGTAGGTGAATGTTCTACCCTTCATCTACTTAACCTCAAAATTTGAGCGAAATCGATTGATATTTCACTGTGGTTTGACATTTTATTTAAAGTCACTTTGTATACGTTGGTCGAAAAACCAACATGGAACAAAGAGCGAATATTAAATTCTGTTTTAAATTGAGTAAAAGTGGTGCAGAAACGTACGAAACGCTAAAAAATGTGTACGGGGATGAATGCATGTCCCGTGCACAGGTTTTCCGTTGGTTTCGCCGATTCCGTGACGGTCGTGAGGACCTTGCAGACGATGACCGAGCACCGCCGCCAAAAACCACTCAGTAATGAAGAAAACATCGAGGAAGTCAAAGAAATTCTTTGAAGCGACCGCTGTGTGTCTGCGAGACTCATTGAAGAGGAAACTGGGATATCGAAAAGCACAGTCTATCGAATTTTGATCGAAGATTTGGGCAGACGGAAGGTCTGTCTGCGCGCTTCGTGCCACACACTCTGACAGACGACCAAAAAGATTGGAGAGTTCAGCATTGCAAAGACATGTTAAAAATGTCCCGAAGGAATGCGGCAAGCATGTCAGCCATTGTAACTGGTGATGAAACGTGGTATTTTCAATACGAGCCAAAAACAAAACGTTAGAGTGCGGCATGGAAGTCACCAGAAGAGCCAAAAGAGAAAAAATTACGCTTTCAGAAGAGCAAAATCAAAACAATGCTGACCGTTTTGTTCGATTCAAAGGGAATTGTTCACAGTGAATTCGTCCCAGAAGGTCAGACGGTGAACGCAGAATATTATCTGGGAGTTCTACAACGATTGTGGGCCAGAATTCGACGAGTTCGACCGGAATATCGACAGTCAGGCAGTTGGTTTTTGTTGCATGATAATGCACCATCGCACAAAGCCATCATGGTACGTGAATTCTTGACCAAAAAAGGCATCATTATTATCGATCATCCACCGTATTTACCTGATTTGGCTCCGTGCGACTTCTGGCTATTTCCCAAACTGAAATTGGCGATGAAAGGAAATCGTTTCGATACTATCCCGGTCATGCAAAAGACTTCGACCGCCATACTAAAGGCCATTCCAGCCGATGAGTATAAAAAATGTTTCGAAAAATTTGTTGAACGTTTCCAGCGCTGTATTGACTCAGAAGGAGACTATTTTAGTATAACCAAAAGAATAAACAAGAATAAAAAATCAAAATAATAAGCGCTTTGTATTTTTTTCAGACCAGTCTCATTGGATCTGGGACAGACTGTGTATGCGACAACACCTTTATTAAAAGTGCATGCAGCAATATTGATTACAAACAATTACAGTCTATTTTTTCGCTAGCTCAACAACTTTCGAACTGAATTTTAACGGTTTTTCCTTTTTTTACGTTAGCAAAAAGGAACATCGAACAATAAAGACCCGAAACCAGTGCTTTCAGAAGCACAGAAGAATGCTCGTGAATGCTCTACTGTCCGCGTCAGGTAGCAGAATTCGAGCGCTCGAACGTTCGATCCCGTTTTACACAACTTCGCTATTTTTGCAGATATCGACATGAAATATTCAGGATATATTTTCGAAATTGAAGCTTTAAGATAATGTAAAAAAGAATCGATTTTTTAACCCTGCTAAGTGTATATAATCCCTTAAGCAATCCAGACTTATTAAAAAGATGTGTTGGGGGTCATACTCAGAACAATAATGAAAGTTATAATGCCGTTATATGATAAATATCTCCAAAACCCATAAACACTGGAGCGGAAATTATAAAATTACAGCGTATTTGGCAGCTTATTTTTTCAATCATGGTAATACAACAATTTTACATATGCTCCACTTAATGAGAATAAAAATAAGACACATAGACAAAAACTATGTTAAAAAGAAGGACAATACGCATTTGAAGACGGCGCAAATGACTTCTGCTTCTAAAGAAGCGAGAACTATTCGAAGAATAGAAAAAAATGAATTAATGCAATATCCAAAAGATGAGGAAGAATGTTTATATGGCCCAGGAATCGCTGAAGGTAAATATTGAATTAATAATGAAAAATTTTTCATCAAAATTTAAACGCGTTTTTCTCGAAATGCTGTTTTTCAACACTATGATATGGATAACTCTGGAATTATTTATCCGAATGACTTGAAATTTGTTACACACTTTTCAATTTATTGTCCCTACTGCATGAACTATCATGGTGCATGTATTTTTAATATTTTCATTTTTTTTATGAAAAACCGAAAATTTTGTGAAGAAATGATTTTATTTCTTTTATATAACGTCATTTTGTTAATAATGATTTTTTTAAATTTCTGTACTTCATGCAATAAAAGATACCTTACGGATTAAACGAACATCGGTATTATGTTGCAGCTCAATTTGACGAGAAGATTTCTACACTATTACCGTAGAGCCATGCGGATATCATCAGCTTCTGTTAGCTTGAGCATATCATTGTCGATACGTATTATATTTAAATGCTATATGTATTAATTTTATATTTAAACTATGTTTAATAAATAAAGAAACTCTCAAACACTTTTATCTTATTCTTCATTGAGCAAAAAATTATTTAAAAACCTTTTTTTATTGCACTCTAGATAAAAAAGGCTTTTAAATTCTTGTTAGGAAATCCTCTTAACAATATCAAAAAATTTTCGGTGTATGTTCCAAGATATATAATACTAAACAAATGGTAATAAGAACAATGCCATAATCAAACAATGGTTGAACAATCATTATGATATTCTGATATGATGATATGAACTTTTATCAACAGAATAATTCAAAGCGATAACGATTATCTCACACAATTAGAAATTGAACTATGGAACTATGGAACAAGTATCATACTACTTCTTTTTCTTCTCTTTTACAATTACCAAAAGAAAAGAAACCCGAAGAAAATCTAAAACTTTCAATAAAGATTTCTACCATTAGCTATTGGTGTAGCTATTGGTGTAACTATTGGTGTCGCTTTTTCTAAGTAAAGAAGCTGTTTCGTGTATTTGCACGATAAAGGCTGCGTTCCGATATTCACTGTCAGTACTGAAAATATATAGTTTATGTAACGTATACTATAGATTTTCAGTGCTGAAACGCAGTCGCAGTAGATGCGCGCGCATAGCTTTAGTGCGCACGCATCTACTGCGTCATGAGCAGTGGCGTATACCTAATTACTACTCTAAGCCGCTTTGTGCGATAAAATACAATAGAATGCGGTAGAGCGGATGATTTCCGTGCCACACACATATAAGCTGCGTTCGGAAACGTTACTTGGATGCACCCACTGCGACAAAGACATAAAAATGAGGTAAAGAAAGAGGAGGAGTACCCTCTAGGGTAACGTTTCCGAACGCAGCCATATACATGTGCGCTATTGGAATTTCAGGCAAGTCAGTAGAATGTCAGTAGAAAAAAAACAGACGTATTACTTTCCGTCTCTTATTCTCGTTTGAGTAGATTATAATATCATGGCAATATAATATTTAACTCTGACAATAAATAGATAAGGCGTGTGCGTTATATTTTTCCATTTACAGCCGATAAAGATTGAAATCCCGCAATGTATATATATATATACATATATCAACTTTCTTTCTTAAAAATCACTATATTTTACAATTTAATTAATTGCCTTTAACAAATTAATTTTTTTAACAAAAATATTAACAATCATGCAATATTTGTTACACGTACAATATGAAATAACCAGAAATCGACTTGATGTTTTTAATTATTTATTATAAAATTTGAACATTGTTGTATAATGTTGTGGATTCATGTAAAACATTAAAAACAAATAGATCGCATATTATAAACATTTTACAAAGGAATAATTTGTTTTATAAAAACATTTAATATTACGGAAAGGACAGAATTGTATTCGCCATACAAATTCAATTATTGACACAGTATTTATTACGTTTTCTGTTATTTAAGAATATAATACAATTTATATATTACAAATTCATACTCATCAAAGTTGATATGTAAACATGAAATCTTTTACGATGTCAATCAGTTATGTTTTCCTTTAAATATTTATAATATGAAATGTTTTTTAAAATAAATTATTCTTTTTATAGAATGTTCATGTGGTGTAATTTATGCGTTCTTAATATTTTTACATTAATTTTCACTCACAATATTATATGCCTTAGTCCATTTATTATTACAATTGAATATTCTATTGTTAACGACGTCGATTCGTTCGAGTGAGGATAAAAGAAAGACAGCAGATGCTATTCCCGTTTACAGATATTCCGAAATTCCGAGCTCACACGTACACGGTACGCATTTGTGTGCGGCACAAAGGAAGCCATCCCTGCAGTCCTGCTAGCGAAGTCAGTTACTTAGCGTCACTAGTTCGTGCATTTTCACGTGAGACACATCAATGTGCTTTTATATTTGAAAGATTAAATGAAGGTTAGTATATGTGTACTTACATATATTTTCATTCTTTTTTATTTAATTCTCTAATCCAATTCTTTCTATATTTTTATTTATTTTTTCATATTCCACGTGTCTCTTATTTTCTACCAATTTCTTATAATAAAATGATATAACATGGGAAAGAATAGTAGAGAATAGTATATGAAATGAAAATAGAATGGTATGTAAAGTGGAGAAGAAAATTTAAATATTTTTTTTTAATTCGCTCTTATATTATATTATATTATATTATATATTATATATAATATTTACCTCATTGTAAATTTTTTTCTATATTTTCTTAATTCCTTAAGTCCTGTCTTAGTTTTCTCATATTTGTTCTTTTTATTTGAATCTTTATTATTTACTTTTGTCTTTTTTCATTCTAAATCATTCTTTCTAATATTCTACTCATTCGCAAAAAAATGTGCCATTAAATTTTAGCACCGTTTTGTAACATCTTTCATTAACAATAACAGCCAAAAATCATCGTAATGAGATGAAACAAAGCTCAAATTAATGCTTGGAGATTTCTTGTCGACAATCAAGAATCTAAAAGTAAATTATAAAAAATGTTTTACAAAATGGCGGATGTTGAAGATAGACCTCGATTAATAGGAAAAATATTTGTTTTTAATTGTTGCATTGCTCAGAGGAATCGGTTCTCTGGTACAAAAATGCATGAGATTTTAAGCTTATTTATTTCCTAACAAATCCATATTTTAGTCATTTTTCTACGACTTGTTTGAAAGTTATGCCGTTTTGAAGAAAATATTACAAAATGGACAATCTTTTCTTGTAAAGTCTACGGTTCAGAATTACCGTAGACAAGATTTTTGCGGGTGAGTGTATATTATATTTCTTATTATTTATCTTTTTATTATTCTTTTTTACCTTTTTTATTTATTACCTATTTCTAATGTGTTTATTATTATATATTTATTATTAGATAGTAGTAAAGAATGAGAAAGAGAGAGAGAGAGAGAGAGAGAGAGAGAGAGAGAGAGAGAGAGAGAGAGAGAGAGAAAGAGAAAGAGAGAGAATAAGTTGTGAAAAACGGAAATATGAGAGAATATAATAGAGAATGATAGGTTGATAGAAAGTGGAAGAATAAGCCCTGATTTTATTACTTATACAAGTAATAAAATTACTTATTATCATTAGCCAATTTATTACCGCCAGTAATAAAGAGTGAGGCCAAAAATCGCCTGTTTCGCCACCTTTGAAATCCGACTTGAATTTGGTGTTAAACGATAGTTATATATAAAACATTGATCCTCTTCTGAAAGTTTCAGATTAAGCCCACTCTTTATCTTCAAGATATGAGGGATCAAAGTTTGCATTGTGCATCAACGGTCTTGAGCCATAGTATGTTTAGGCATGGACATAGGCGGGATAAAACTTTGGACTGTTCATTGATTATTTTTTTGTTGCTTTTTTATAACACTTGCAATCTTCGGCCTGTATGGAACATTATTAACATGTGATTTCCTCTGTTGAATGAGGATTTTTGCAATAAATTGTTTGAACAATTCAGTTATGGACAAATTATTTTGACAATATTTTTTCGGCAATAATTATCATTTTCGGTTACATCGTATATCCCGTAGTCATTTTTATGCAAACCACTCTGGGCTACCTATGGGAATTAATGAATTAAGAGAGTATGACCCATACACGCGCGCGCGCGCGCACATACACACACGCACACGCACACGCACTCGACACACACACATACATACATACACACGTATGTACGTATATATGTAAGATCTTATTCTTCATGACATATATCATGATCTTATTTTCTGCATATAAATCTTATTGAAGCAGTAGATAAGGCACTTGATGCACAATGCAGACTTTGACTCATCATATCTTGAAGATAAAGAGTGAGTCACTTTGAAACTTTACAAGGATTAATGTCTTGTATAGAACTATCGTTTAGCACTAAATTCGAATTGGATTTCAAGAGTGGCGAAAGCGAAATAAGCGATTTTTGGCCTATTTGTTACATCACTCTTTCTGTAAGGATTCTGTAAGGAACATGAATGAATGAAAGGAAATAATAAAGAATGGCACAGAAAAGAACAAAAGTAGATATAAGTAGATTAAATAAAAAGAGGAAAAATAAAATAAAATGCGAGAGAATTTAAGGAAATAAGAAAATTAAGAATGTGAAATAAGTTTTTCTATTCTCTTCCATTCTTTACTGTTATAAGTTTTCTCCTATATTTTTTCAATTCCTCAAATTCTTATATTTTTCGTTCTGTTCAGATCTCTTCTTTTCATTTTTATATTCCTTTTTATCATACCATTCTTTTTATACTTCCTCCACTCTCTTGTACTTTCACTTATGCTTTTGCATTCCACATTACTTTTTCTTATATTCTCTATTAATCTTTTATAATAGAATCTTTTATAATCTAATAAAAGTATAGCGTCGAAAAAAGGAGGAGAAAAAAAGGACTAGAAAATAATTAGAATGAAATAAAAGTAAAAATAATACTTAAATAGAAAAAGGGTAAGCGAGAAATAGGAAATGCGGAATAATGAATAACGGAACAATGAAAGAGAGAAGAGAAATAGACAAGAACAAATAACACAATTCATAATTAATAGTTAATAATTATCTGTGATTCTATAATTAATAACCGATGATTGAAAAGTAATAAGTAATAATTAATAGTTGGTATAAGGACAATTAATAATTGATATTAGGTGTTTACAAAAATTCGCTTGATATTAAAGTCATTTTATTTATTAATAATAATCAGATGAGATATAATATTTTAATAAAAATATTGGCTATTGTTATTAATAATCTTTCGCCATTTTTCGCACAACAGTTTGATTCCGCGTCGATCAAATGATTCATATTTTAAGGCAATCCATTCGACTCATTCTCACACTTTCTCAGCATATCGGAACTATATATCAAATAGATCGCGTTGCATTGATCTGAATAGTTGAAGGTATTAAGATACATAGGATAGGATATATGGAGTGATACATAGGGCGATATGTCTGGAGAATATGTTGGGTGCAGGAGTTGCCAATCTAATTCGAACAACGTCTCTTTAGTTGTGATAGCAACATGCGGTTTGGTGTTACCGTGAAGCAGGATGATTTTACGCGGATTCTATTTTTTAAGGGCATTTTTATTTCATGGTTTAATTTAAACATCATACTTAATTGTTGACTAAAGCGATATCCTTGGATCAGAACAAAGAAAAGAATTTTTAATTCAAATATTAATTTTTATATACTGATGCGTTAATGAATCTACGGAACATAATAGAATTTTGTTTGCAGTTTTCTTGTCTCTTTTTTGCAAAAATCGATTTTATCTGTCATTCCATCATTCCATGTATAGAAGTATTAAAATAACGTTACAATAAAATAAGTAATTTGCAAAATATTTCATATCTTATACAAAAATATTAGAACATAATATGAAATATCTCATATTCACTTAAGTATTCACTTTTTTATTTCTTTTTACTCCAATTCTTTATGCATAGAATAATCAGAGAGGAATTGATTTCAGTTAAAAAAAGTAATATGATTCCATTTATAAAATTAAATATTATAAAACATTATAAACATTTTGACATTAGGAAAAGGACAAGCAAGTAATATCATTAAATGTTCTCCTTGAAACTCTATAATTTTTATCTGGGGCTATTTTCTAAAATATACATTTTTTCTAAGACATTAATCTCATCCATTTTATCTAATCCACTCTATATATATCTGTATATATGTATATACAATTTAGTTTACGAAATAAATAAAAGGCATAAAAGCGTGCGCTGTATGCTAGTGTAGATAAAATATAGAAATTATTTAATCTGAATGTTTTATTTGAATATTTCTACGATTCTTTTTTTAAATAGCAGTGAATGCTGCTTATTAACGTATAACAATTAGTTTTGTTTCTTTGAATAAAAATTGATAAGAGAAATATAGAAGAATTCTTAACAGAATAGAAAACCGTGCATTATTCCAAAAAAAGAAGAAAAAATACACATACACATTGTTACATATTTGAAAAATTTGGAATGTGCAAAATGTATAAAAAGTTTATTTTTTTGTTTATTTTTGTGCATTACCACCTCTCTTATATATATTTTATAAAAGTTAATTTTCTTGTTATCTTAATGCTTAATATATATATATATATATATATATATTGTAATCAGGAATTACTTGCGTACAGCATTAAAAAAATATATATATACATATATGTATATATATATATATATATATATAACATATATATATTACAGGAAGAAATAATCACATTGCTCATTAATGTTTGCGTTTACTTTACGATATTCGCAGCATATATACATTTACGCAAAACTTTTAAGTAAAAGAAATATTGTAATAATCGCCGTAATAAAATATTTGTGTATGTATGTACGTATGCTGTGAATATCATGAAGCAAACACGAACGATCGTTAGTGAACGGCATGATTATTTATTTTCCTGCGTTGTTATGAGTTTTTCTGATATATATTATTTATGTTTCACGAAGAGATTATACATGACTCTAACGGATTCTAACGGAGCTTGAGAATTAAATTGTAAATATATCCCCACAGGATCTGTGGACGCAATATCAACAATAAGAAGAAGCGGGACATAAGCGACCGTCTAAGACATGCCTTCACTTTTAGTATAATAAGAACATTCGAACGTCTTAAGCAGAAGTCAAGATCAGAGGGAGCTTTGTGTCTAGTAAATTACACCTAAGAGAAAAGAACCATCACTTTCCAAATATCACGTTGCAGCACATCATTGGCAGCTCTGAACGCGAAAGAAATAATATTGGAACAATCAACGGTCTCAGAATAGAAATAATATTAGAATAGAGTCAGCGGTGTTACCATAGACAACATCATGCCTTACACGGTAAGTCATGCCTTTTATTATCTTTTCAGGTTATTTATATACATCCGAAAGCGAAGAAATACTCGTTCAAATAACTTTATGTAAATTTACTTATTACCAATCGATAAATTAATTAAATCCAAAACTTAAGAGTTGAAGTAAATTCAAAGAGTAAATTTACATTTTGGTGAAGCTTAACTCCAATTTCGAGTTCAGACTCGTTTCGTGATTTAAAGCTTCACAAGTCAACGAATTGTGTTCTAATTAATATTAGACAATAATCATATTGTAAAAATTAATGAAAGATAAACGATATTTTACGACAATATTACGAAGAGTCGATTTTGCGATCGATATGTTTCGTTGTTTCAGGCTATAACGGTTATGGCAGCGGGTTGCGTGGCCGCGGGAGTGGTAACTTTAATAACGTTGCCAAAAATATTTAAACGACTAAAGAAATTTCAATCACCATCATTAAAAATGATTGAACTGGCAAAAGAAGAATGGGTTAAAATTGGTACTGTTAAGGAATTATTCGTATATCCGATTATGTGTGGCAAGGAAATTGAAATTAGAGAGTGCGAATTTCAAGAAAATGGACTTAAAACAATAATAGATATGAATGAAGGTTCACTTCGTGACAAGTAAGTCTTCAATATATAGAGTGTCTCAAACCTCTAAACTTTAATTGTGTTGAGAAGAATTTGAACAATTGTTTATTTTTCCTCGGCGAAAACAATGAGCATTAATAATTTCCGATATACAAGTTATTGAGAAAGCGAGGATTTTCGTAAATTAGACTTTCAGGACTAAATGAACAATAAAAGTATCTTCTTCGATTAAATTCATATGAACTTTCAAACGACTTACTTTGTTATAAGGATATGTTAGGTTGAAGATTAGAAAGTGATCATAAACAATGATCTTTTTCTAATCTCAACAATTCCGAAGAAAAAGCGCCCCTAGATTGTTTCGAGAACCTATAGATAAAACGAAAATTGCAAGATATATATATATATATATATATAGAACAATCTGTATATGTGTATACATATGCGTATATACTGGAAAACAAAATGGTTCCGACATTGGTAATTTGTGTAGTTGTGAATTTGAGAATCACTGTCCAATCAAACTGCGCAAACCAAAAGATCGCTCTCTCTTTCTCTTGTGCAAGTTCCTGAGCAGTGATTCGCAAATTTCACAACTAAACTTGTTACTAACGTTTGTAAAAGAAAAGGAACTGTTGAAACCGTTTTGCTTTTCAGTGTACATGCACATATGCGTACGTATGTATATGTATGTACACAATATGTTACGTATCGTTATATTGATTTTATTGATATATTGATATAGCACTGATAGGAAACTAAACGATAACATAGCTCCACAAAAAAAGGTAGACAGTGCCATACAACTTTTATCTAAAATATTTTTTTGTATCTTTTATAGTTTTCGAAATATACTTTCTGAAAACCAGGTATACCGATATACCTTGTAAGGGTGATTTTAACCCCTAAATATGAAATTGGGCACGTATAAAAAAATATGTATTTCTTATTTTTAGCTACTCCACAACATATAATATATATTAGATACAAAAAGAAGATACAGAAAAATGTTTCTGATAAAGGTTATATGGTTTTTGACACTCCTTACAACTATGTAGTTAGATTTCTTAAAAATATTATATGTTTTTATATTCCCTTCCCACCAGCTTTATTTTTGCAAATTGAAAATTTTTGTAATAACAAGAATTGTAGCATTTTTTAAGCTGAATTCAACTATATATTGATACAACTTAATTTTGTTAAGTGAAGTTATGATCAGTTTTTTGAGGTTAGGGACGATAAAGCTAGCAATTGTCCAATTCTGACCTCAGATTCGGATTCAGCGGATCAAAATATATAAGAATATACTTGTCCGGTTTTAAGCAACGATCACTTTCTTTGTGTGTGTGGGGGGGACTGTGTAATTAGATAAATTCTTATAAACAAAGCTGCTATTGCTGCTGCTATAATTTACTAACTACTGTTGCTGTATAATTTACTAAAAATTCTGCTATATAATTTAATAAAAATGTTAAATTTTTATATTGTTTTTCAGAATGTTCGTAATATACGATGAGGAAACCCACTGTGTTCAAACTTGCAGAAATTTCACGGCAATGCTTAGATTGCGAGTGACAGCCATCGATAAATACTTAATACGCTTTAAAGAAGATAATGATTATTTTACTGTGGACTTGCGGTCTAGTAATCTGAAAAGCCACAATGTTGTAGAGTGTAAAGTGTGGAACAATCCGAGCGAAACATTATACTATCTAGAGTGCATTGATTGCGGTTCCGAAGCCGCTTCATGGATATCCGGGTATATATATTTAATAATTTTATGCATATACGTGTATGCATTTTGTTCATGATAACTTTGTTTGTGAATCATATTAGATAATAAAATAATTTACAGTGCTTTAACGGGTAAGAGTACTGGTCTACGTTTGGGATATTACAAGAATAAAACGTTGAAAATATTGACTCTTTGGGATAGCTTCGGTGGATTACGCGAAATAAAAGATAGTCTAAAGAGGCCTATTGAAAGTGAATTGGTAATAAAATGTTTTTAATTATACAAATAATTATATATTAATTAATTAAGTATCATTAATTAAGAGTGTCAATCGACTACTTATGTTTCCTCAGTCTTAAGTTTCTAAGCCTATGGAATCAGTATGATGTATGAGTGCGAGAAATTTTAAAAGGCTTAAATAGAAATTATTATATAGCAAATGTGGATCGAATTTAATATCTTTCAAAACACCACATTGACATTGAAACGAATATTTTAATAAAACAACTTAACACATCTCTTTTTTTAGGAGGAAAATAAACAATTACCGGTTTACACGATGGTAGCGCAACAATCATTAGAAGAAGTAAATAAATCATTGTTAAACCAAAGGACGTCTCCCGAACTCGGCGCTAATTTTGTCATCTTGACTCAGAAACCTTTCTCAGAGTGCCAATATGATTATTTAAAAATCGGCGAAAATGTAATGGTGGCTAATATAAAACCATGGAAAAGGTAATTACACAAAAAATCAATTTATTGAAATCCGTCAGTACAGAATATCTTTAATATTTTGATATCTCGAGCTTTTTCGGCTGTCGCTTACAATCAAATTTCTTAAATGAAATCATAATATTACATTATAATATTCACATGTATCTTTTCTTTTAATATATTTGTATATCTTTTTTTGCATACAGGCCTCGGATTAATCCGATGATGATCCCGAACGACTTGAAAATTAAGTTGCTGTCAGTTCATTGCAAAGTGATCAACCCAGGAAAAGTGAAGGTTAATGATGACGTGTATATACGTGCTTCTTTAGACGAGTGAAAAACGAAGAGAATATTTTATATTTTATTTATATGTTGTTTGATGGAATTGATTATCGGCTAAAGGAAACGATCGAGTGAAATCGAATTTCCTCTAAGGTTTCATAATTTTATGTTTGAGTGGAGTATTAGGTACCTAATGATACTAGATTTACCGGACGATAAACTATTAGACATGTTTCGTGTGCGATTGATTGTGTTGGAAACGATGAACTTGCATACCAACGTACATATATACAACTTAGGTTATATGTACAGGTATATTATATATACATTTATTATGTATATATAATATGTTCTGAGATATATTGTACATACATATATATAGAAGTATTTGTCGTTACCGATGTGACGAATTGCTGCGTAATATGACCGTTCGATAGATCAAGCAATATACATGTTAATCTAAATATAATGACACAATCCAGCAATAAAAGATATGAAATCTAGCTGTTCCTATTGTGTAGATTATAATCTCAATAATTTACTTGTATTCGTTTATTATCAATTATATTTATTAATATTTGTCTTATTTTGTCATTAACAATAGATTATTTATGATATATGTTCTGCACAGGGATTTTACTGATTTATTCTCACATAATACGCATGTTTCAAAGACGTCCAAAAAGATAGGATGTTCTTTGAACGTCTTTAAATCATCCTTGAAACGTGTATATTGCGTGGGGTTATTGTATATATCAAATTTTTTGAATTTTGCACATTTCGTTTATCTGTTTGTAAATCTTCCGGAGAAAAATCGAAATTATATAGTTGCCTTATTAATATCATAAATCCTTGTAATATCGTAATCTTTGTTATCTTCCGGTAGGAAACTTCAGGATTGCTGGCCCTTATATGCACATGTACGCTCTTTTAAAGCAATCTATTCACTTGATTATATAAAATTCTTTTTTTCCAGTGTCTGAATATCCTAATGTAAAATGCACTTAGATAAACTATGTAATATGTATGTATAATAAATAAAACATTCCATATTAAATATTCTGGAACATGTATAGAGCGTATCTACATGCCAAATACACAATACATTCTAATTTATAAGCACATTTGCAATGAAAATTCGTTGATGTTAAATGTAGGTAGATTTATATCTTACTGAACGATTGCCTCACTATTACGATTATTTGATTTAATTTATTAGTAATTATATCATCCGCATGTATATATACACAATACCCTCTATATGTTTATTCAATAATAAATTTACAAGACTCCGTATATTTACATTGTACGTTACATTCCACGTACGTGCAATGTAAAGAAAATCTGTAAGATTTTCTGATGTAAGAAGTCCTGTAAAATATAAGAAACCATAGACATCAACGATTACAATGATAAAATAAGTCTGATAAAATATGGAAATATATTATAACGCCCATCTCTACTGCGCGCGCGTTTACGGTTTATAACGACATTCCATTTGCAGGTTGATATTCGGAAGATATTGAATCCGCTCGTCATTGGTACACCTTCTCAGGACACAAACGGTAATGGTCACAAAAAGATCTAAAACACGAATAAAAGTATATTTTAGTTATTATTGTAGAGACCGGATACAAAGACGCAAATAGCGATGATAATAAAACGTTAAACGCGTGCGCATATATTACTGACATAAAGACGGTCTTAGTATACCACAAAGACTCGTTTAGTTAACATAATTGCAAGAGATTAGTAAATTCGGTAAATTCGAAAAGAATTGCACAGCTGTTGTTATAGCATAATGCTTGTACGACAAACAAGTGAACACGAACAAAAACTGTAAAACAAATTGCAAAATTGAAGATATAACTCAGCGTAATTAAACAAGGATAATAGCGGTATTAACTAGAAAAACAAACATGAAAGAATTTATCCCTCATGTAAGTTATATTATTTTTTTATCATTTTTTTTTAAACTGCTCGTATACTGAGAAAATTTGCACATCTGCACATATATAAATAGAACTCATCCTATTGAACGAAGAAATCCTTCACTATTTTGCGAATAATCATGATAATTATTGGGGTATTAAAGAAAATTTATGAATAATTGTATACAATGTGGTGAGACAAGTTTTTTAAGCGAAATCTCATTCAAAATATTTGAATATATCGACTATCTCTTGGCAACAACTGACAATATGTAATATCTGTTTTAAAAATCCAATAAAATAATTCTATAAATTTATGTAGGAAAATATATGTAAGTAAATATGTAACCGTATTTAACGCGTATATAAAATATATGCTTCATAAGAATTGAAAGTAATCTATCATGTTTTTAAATATTCAATTCATAAAATTCAAGACATATGATATTTGCTTTTTTAACGGCTTTACTTACAAAATCCGATGAAAATGAATAGAAATACATCCAAATTTCATTGAAATATCGTATGATTTTATTTGAACTTATTATTTATATCTAGATAAATATCTACCCATTTAATACGATACGATAAGGAAGAAAAGAATGTGATAGCTTATTTGAAAAGTCCGATATGATAAGTTTAGATCAAATCATAGAATGTTTCATAGAATGTCATCATAGAATGCATGTGAAGTTTGGATTTTGTAAGCATGTGAAGTTTGGATATATTTCTATCAATCTTTATTGGATTTTTTTTTAAGTGGGGATTCTGGACATACATTATAATACTATTCCACCGTATCACATGCAATCGTTTGTAAATTTTCTTTAATTTATACTATCGTTGTTTGCAATTATTATTGTTGTTTGCAAAGCAATAATGAAATTTTTCATTTAGTATGACGAGTTCTTCTCACACACTAGCGGATATATGAGTTATGTGAGATATTCTGTATATCAGAATTCAAGAAGAAGTATGTGTTCTTGTATTCTGATATACAGAATAAAAATCGTTTTATTAATATAATATTAGATAGTTATTAGAATACATAAAATCGTGTATTGCAACAGAAAATTCCTCCAGAAAATCAACTTCGGATTTGCATGTATAACTCTTCTTGAAGTATCACATTGATTATGAAAATCTCAGCTTCTTTCGCAGCTTATATAAATTATACACGTCAACGAAATTAATATATAATAGTAGATTAATATATAATAGTAGTTATCAACAAGATAATTATCAAAAAGTAAATATCATGCTAAAAAGTTGCGGAGAATAAATCTTTTAATGTATATGATTTTAAAATGCAGTTTGGAGCAGTTTTTATTTTCCACTGTATATTAATCTTGGCATTGTACATAATTCGACGTAAGAGAGGAAAGAGACATGAGATGAAAGTCAAGAAGGATGAATTAGCAACAGAAGTTGCAAGTAATATACAAGGTTGTTCATATTTTGCAAGCTATTAGAAGATAAACAACATGTGGTAAGATGATCTTTTGGAGAATGTATTTTTTAACGCACGAGTTTGATGTTTTAGATGTCTCAGAAAATATTTCATCGGAAGAAAAAGACAATTCCTCAGTTGTTTCTCAATTACCAGAAATGAGATGGGTAAAAGTTGGCGAAGTCGTAAATTTGCAGATATATCCATTAATATCGGGTAAAGCATATGCCGTTGACGAATGCCACATGTTCAAAGGGATATTTTTTAAAGGAATGAAAATGTTCAAGGAAGGAAAAATAATAGATTGGGATCGGTTGGTATAGAATTTGAATATTTACTCTCTCAACAAACTGCTCGCAATATTCCGTTTTATTATACCACATCTAACGAAATTAACGTTAATTCTTAAATCCTATACCATCAGATCATTCCTAATATATGATATGACAACCAATCACATAATTACAACGGGTAATTTCCCGGAGCTACACGAGCTGGATGTGTTGATTAAGAAAAATAAAATAATTTTACAAGCCGGAGGTATGCCCCCTATACATGTCAGGCTTATACAAAGTAAACTTGTCGAATGTACTTTCTGGTGCGATGAAGTATTGGAAAAACCAGGGAAGATAGTTTGTATCGATTGTGGCGACAAAGCTGCTAAGTGGCTATCCAGGTATACTCTTAAAAATTTCAAGCGTACATTATGGTATTTTATACGATCTGTATATTAGAATGTATGAACGTAAAGTGTTTTACAGTTTTTTATGTGGGTTAAACACCGGTGTACGTTTAGGATATGCAGTAGATGCCGTTAGAGAAATGGGCATATCTTGGCAATACTGGCTCAGAGACTGTATACTGCATCAAAGAGTGAAGTGTAACAGAAACTACTTGGTAATTAACATGGCTGATTAATACGTTGAATACCGCGATGGTTATCGATGAGCGAAAATATGATCGGCTGTGTCGCATTTAGCTGCATATAGAGTATGACTAATTGAGTATAAAAGATTGAAAACAAAGCAAAGTATGCATTTCAAATTACATCCACCTAGATAGGCAAATGCGCGAGCAAATTTCGAGAAAAGTTTGCTATCAATTTTTGATGGCAGATAAGTAACAAATTCGATGCAAGATCTCTGTTATCAAATTCTGTTGCTAAACTGCCGCAAATATTCAACTTCAATATTCAAGGGCTTGCTGCCGGACAACTTGCAGCAAAAACCGCGAAAATCTTGCTGATACTTAGCGCTAGATTATGAGCAGCAAGGTTTGCATGCAAATTTTGCTGTAAATTTGTTACAAATTACCCGGCAGCAGGCTTTGATACTTTGAGTTGAATGCGGACACAGATAGCTATGATTTGGTTTAAGTTTTTAATCTGATTTGGTGCAAATTTACAGTCAATTTGCTTATTGGGTACTTTTTTAGTAATTTGATTCTCAATTAAACTTTCTTGCAATCAATGAAAATCATCATAAAAGATAATATATTTATTAAGTAATATATACACATACACACAGAGAAAATTGTTTACTGTGTGCGTGAATCTACTGTTAATACGTGTATTTGTGTATATGTGTATTTGTAAGATTTTAAAATGGTACCCTTTTATCAAACAAATAAATGTTTCATTTTTTCAGGGTCCGTTTGCAAGTGTTTTACACAGTGTGGTACTATCGTCTTTATCATATGACGAAATATCGAGAAAATTGAAAGAATATAATCCGAATCAAATGATTTGTCCGAACATCATTGTTTCTGCTTCAAATCTTTACGCGGACAAAGTATGGGAGTGGATCAAGATAGGCGATGTAATCATTAATAATACACAACCGTTGGTAGTTTGGCCGAAGTAATTATGTTTATGCATATCATTATTTATATTCCTTTCTTCTTTATTTTCATGTGAGAGAAATATAAATCTAGAATCTACTTAGTATCGTACGTCGTACTTAGTCGTAGACTGTACGACTCGAAAATAATTTTGAGTCTTCGTGACAATTAAGAAGTAAGCCTCATCGAATTTCTTTAATTAATATATTACTTGTTTGTAGGGAAGGTGAACAAAGTGAAGTTATAAGATTGTTTGGTTTGGGAATTAATTGCCAAGTGTATCTACCAGGATGTGTTAAATTAAATGACAACGTATACCTTCATATTCCAAAAAGTGAGGAGGAAATGAAAAGCAAAGAGAATATTACTGAGGAGAGCAATGTAACGCAACATAGTAATTTTTAATATGACTCGATTATTATTAAATTCTTAAAGTTCACAGCTTTAAGGTTCACCTTCTTCCTTATCCTTACATCCGCATTGTATTTAGAAATTTGAATAGATTGTTTATTTCAAGGTTCTTTGAAATTTTACTAAGATTTGACTTGATGTTAGATAACATCAATATATTCAAATCAGAATATTTCTATATAACTTTTACTTATCTATAAACGCAACTGTATATACTTATAATGTAATGTAATATGTAATGTTCTTCCTAATATATATGATGTTGATATTCATATTTCAATTGATTTCATTTTTCGATCTCTTTAAGTAAATATACTGCAGCAAGTCTCTAACTTTCAAAAACTCTTATTATTTTGTTCTTTAAATACCAACTTAAACTTTTAACGTAGAATATATGTATACAGGAGAGATACTTAAAATAATCCGTCTTAATAATAAAATAAATAAATCTTAATGATAATCTTAATAAATCTTAAAGTAATAAATTTTAATAAATCTCAATAATAAAATAAATAAAAATATCTTTTGATAAACTGTATTCATACTTTAAAACTGTCTTTCTAATTTGCACTGTCAATTCCATCTCATGAAACTATGAAACTAATTGTAATTAATTTACTGTTATTTCTTTTTCGAAATACAAATTTCTTGAATGTGTGCTTATTTATTATTTATTACTTTACATCACTACGAAACAACTGACCTTAAACATTTCAATGTTAATAGGCAATTATAATTGGTAATTATGATCAAAATACATTTAATCAAATTTCATAATATTTATCTATCATGGTTTAGAGTAAATTCACATTTTCAAAATGATTTTTGGAAAATATAAAAATATAATTGCGTCTTTTCAAAATACATACAGCAACGAAAGTGAATCCAAAATTTCGACGCAAACGCTTCTTTAGCCGTTATTTCGATTAATACGAAAATATAAGTAATAATAACAATAACATTACGTATAAAGATACAATTTCAGTACGAAGGACTTTGGTATATCGCGGCAAGGAGTCTACATAACGAATCAAAGCGAATATAAACATAGAAATCTTCAGTGAACGTGATTTTAGTTAACTAGATATATTCGATAAACTCTACTTGAGGAAAAATTATTCTTTTAGTTCTTTCCTTTACGATTAGTTCTTGGGGTAACGTTTATGTTAACAAATAAGTACGAATTGCTATGATACAAATAGAAACTGTTAAAACGAAATAAGTAACTATCATCTTGGAAGAAAACTAACTGCGATATTAACGAAACAAATCATGAATATACATTTCATTCCGGTAAGTCATACTTCTCTCTTGTAATTTCTTCAAGCTGCTCAAGCATATCCAAATGCGAGAAGGTACCTGCTAGAACAACTAATAAAATCACTTTCGACAACAACTGAAAGATCAATTAGCGAGTAAAACTTTCCTCGGAGTCATATCAAAGATATGAATGCAAATTTCTTTCGTAATTTATATGATACACACGTTAACGAATTCTATTTGAAGCAATATGACCAATAGTTGGCACGATAATAATCAATCATGACATGTCGCAGCAATAGATTTTGAAAATTAAGTTTTATAATACATATTTGTTTAATATATAGAGTGTAGCTACCGCAATTTTTTCTTGTGGTCTGGCAACCTTGATATGCCGCATAATTGAACATAATAGGAAGAAGAGATACAAGATAAAAATCAAGGAAAACAAGTCAAATTCGAAAATCGCATGTAATATACAAGCTTATTTGTATTTCACAAAAGCTATTTAAAGATAAATGATATGTAAGGTAATTTTGGAGATTGTATCTTTTAATGCATGATTTCAATTTTTTATTTTAGACTTTAAGAAGCATCCAAACAATTCGCCAAAACAAATATACGACGTCTTAAATACTCTTGAATTGTCAAACCTGATATGGGTAAAAGTCGGTAAAGTATCAAACATGTACATATATCCATTGGCAGCGGGTAAACAACATGTTACTGACGAATGCTACATCACAAGTTGGAATATAAATATGTTCAAGGAAGGCCAATTAATAAAAGGGGATAGGTTAGTACAGAATTCGGATATTTTTTTTTTAACAAACTATAACTTTTCCTTTTGTACCACAAATCAACTACGAAAAGCAACATTAAGACAACATAAGAATTGTATACTATGCCATCAGATTATTTTTAGTATATGAGATAGGGACCAATTATGTAATAACTACTAGAATGGCTCCGGCACTACGTAAGTTGGAATTGTCGATCGTAGGTCAACATATAATATTAAAAAGCGAAGGAAAGACCACTTTACATATCAATTTTGACCATAGAAATATTGTCTATTGCAAGTTTTGGTGCTGTGAGAAATTACAAACGTACCCAAAAATTATTTGTACCGATTGCGGCGACGCAGCAGCCCAATGGTTATCAAGGTATGTATTCAGAAATGTACGCATACAGAACTGTAATATTGGGTCTGGGAAAAAGTTTATGGCGTTTTTTTAGTAAAATTCAACTGGTTTTCTTATAGTGTGAAAATGAATTTATTTAAACCAAATATGCTCCATTATTATCGACAATGTTTCGCCATTTTTCGGGTAGAGTCATGATGCCATTGGTGAAGAACTATGGTTTCTGGTTGAAAAACTGAATCAAATAGTTTTCACAGGCTTCTTTTGAAACCAACTTAATTCCATTGAGAGAGTTCTGCAGAGATCGGAACAAGTGATAGTCAGAGGGTGCTATGTTTAGACTATACGGTGGATGCATCAAAATTTCTCAACCAAGCTTTCGCAATTTTTGACAGGTCATAAAAGAAGTGTGTAGTCGGGCGTTGTCATGATGGAAGACAACACCTTTCCTATTATTCAATTCGGGCCGTTCTCTTTCAATTGCCTGGCGTAATCTCTCTAGTTGTCCACAATAGAGTTGAGAATCAATCGTCTGACCAACTGGAAGTAGCTCATGGTGGACGATTCCCTTCCAGTCCCACCACACACACAGCATCACCTTTTTCGGCGTCAATCCTGGCTTCGCAAACGCTTGTGACGGCCACTATCCCTTGTCCACGATCTTTGACGCTTCCGATTGTCGTACGTGATCCATTTTTCATCACCGGTTATGACACGTTTCAGAAATGGCTCGATTTCATTGCGTTTCAACAGCGCATCGCAGATGTTAATTCGGTCTATCATGTTTTTCGCGCTCAACTCATGAGGAACCCATACATCGAGCTTCTTTTTGTAGCCAGCTTTGTGTAAATGGTTCAAAACTGTGTTTCCTGAGTTATTTGCAATTGACGCCATGTATCGGGAAAAATGCCACGAACTTTTTCCCAGATCCAATATGTACTACGGTATTTGATATTATCTATACATTAGATATGTAAGTCGAAGTAATTTACAGATTTATATACGGAAGAAATTATGGCCTACGTCTGGGTTATGTATTGTATAACAATTCTGTTATGAAAACATTTTGGCCACACTTGTTGAGTGACTTCACATTGGATACGAAAAGCTGGCCGGATAGACACAATATGGTAATTAGCTAATAGTAATGGATAATTAATGTGTAGCATACCATGTGTGTCATCGACGAACGAAAATACATAACCGCGTTATATTTACATATGAAGTAGAACTATATAATTGCATCTAAAAAATCAGTTGCATGACCTATAAATAATAATCTATAAAATAGATATAAAAATTAAATATATTTCAAACTCGTTTTATTTACTCTATTTTCAATAATTTAGTTATCAGTTAAATTTTTTTTAATAAAGATCAGTGGTTTTCTGTGAATATATTAAATGGTCACTTGGGTTATTTTAATCTTGATGCACAGAACACATTCAAATTATAATTACTTGAATTATAATTTTTTTCATTTTTATGCATAGCACGTAATTGATATGTACATGAATTTATCATATATCACTTATCATTTATATCTATTATATATAGATAAATATCTAACCTTTAATAACATATGATAAAGAAGGAAAGAATGTGCTTATTTGAAAGGTCCGATATGATACATTTAAATAAAATCATAGAATGTTTCAGCGAAATTTCGATATATTTCTATTAATCCTTATCGGACTTTTTTCTTTAAGCAGGGACTATCGGCCTGCATACATTTCTTCCAATGAGAAATAAGTTTGTTCATTTCTATTGGGAATACAAATTAGTTCGGTCCGTTTTTTTGTGTTAAAAGATGTATTTATTTCAAATCAAAATGAATGAATAGATCAATTAAAGTATTTTCCATCGCTGGCTACTACTTTCTTCCATTTCTCTGGCAATTTTTGAATTCCATCTCGAAAAAATGACTCGTCTTTTGAGGCGATCCAAGTTTGGAGCCAATTTTCGATTTCTGTGAAAGAAGTGAACCGGTGACCTGCTAAATCGTGCTGCATCCTTCGGAACAACCAGTAATCAGAAGGAGCAATGTCCGCAGAATACGGCGGGTGCGGTAAAACGTTCTATTTGAGCGTTTCCAAATATTTTTTTATGACTTTTGCGACATGAGGCCGAGCGTTGTCATGAAGAACGCCTTTCAACGTCTCTTGGTTTCAGTTCATAAGGCACCCAATTTCCTTGTTTTTGAATAATTCCCATGTCTCTCAATCGTAACGGAAACGGCTTGTTGAGTCACTCCCAATAATTTTGCAAGCTCCTCTTGCGTTTGACTCTGATCTTCTTCGAGTAATGCCTCTAATTCTTTGTCCTCGAATTTTTTTCGCTGTCCAGAGCGAGGCTTGTCTTCGACGCTGAAATCTCCATCCTTGAAACGTCGAAACCATTCCCTTCATGATTTATCAGTTGGAGCAGCGTCACCATAAACTTCAACAAGCATTCGATGGGTTTCGGCTGCACTTTTCTTCCAATTAAAGCAGAAAATTAAAACCTCCTGCAAATGCTGCTTGGTTAACACAAAATTCGACATTTTCAGCACTGTAAAAAGCAAGGTTTTTGTATGAAACTCAAAGCGATATAAATTGAATATTATTGGCAGATGTCTAACCTCTCTGAAACCGCCAAAATCGGCAGTCACTATGAACCATTCATAACAGCCGGAGCCATCTTTTGAAAACGGACTGAACTAATTTGTACACCCAATATAAGATAGAATACTGGAAAAGATAACGGTAACTGTAGAAAAATCGGAGCCAAACTCAAAAATCACAATTATTTTTGCACCAATCTAATACGAAAAATTTTAAAAACGTTTTATAATTTTTATATATTGGGTGAGTGCAAAAGTTCGTGCGGAGTTTGTGAGTAAAAGTCATACAGTGATTAGGCAAACAAAAATCTTTATTCAATCAATGATATATTCTCCATCGTTTTCTATAATCTTTTCCCAACGTTCTGGCAGCATACGGATGCCTCGATCATAAAAACTGCGCGGTTTAGATTCGAAGAACGAAGAGACGCCGTTTTTTAAGGCCTCCAAAGAGTCAAAGTTTTTTCCATTTAAATAATTTTGCAATGACCGGAACAAGTGATAGTCAGATGGTGCGATATCAGGAGAATACGGTGGATGCGTTAAGACATCCCATTTCAGGCTCTTCAGTTTGCGCAGCGTCTTTTTCGAAACGTGTGGTCTGGCGTTGTCGTGATGAAAGACGACTCCCTTGCGATTTGACAAAATCGGACGTTTCTCTTTTATTTCTCGATTCAGATTGGTTAATTGGCGACAGTACTTGTCCGAATCAATCGTTTCGCCAGCGGGGAGAAGCTCGAAATAGATTATGCCCTTGCAATCCCACCAAACAGAGAGCATCACCTTCATCGGGTGCAAACTGGCCTTTGGCATTGCGTCATCATGCTCACCTGATTGTTTCCATGTCCGTTTGCGCTGAACATTGTTGTAGAGGACCCATTTCTCATCGCCCGTCACTAGTCGATCCAAAAACGACTCGTTATTGAGCCGCCCGAGTAAAGAAACGGCTGCAGAAATTCGCTTGATTTTGTTCTTCTCGGTCAGCAAATGGGGCACCCATATATCGAGCTTCAAATCGAATCCCATCTTTTTTAAACGAAAAGCGGTTGATCGGTCAACGTTTAGTGCTGTAGCAACTTCTTCTGTTGAAATTCGCGGATTATTGAGCACTAAAGTACGCAAAACATCGTCATCAATGTCAGAAGGTCGACCAGAGCGTGGCTCGTCTTCAAGGTTAAATTCTCCGCGCCGAAATTTAGCAAACCATTTTTCCACAGTTCGTTTAGCTGGTGCTTCATCCTGATAAACATCCTAAATGTTTTTTACGGCTGCGGCAACGTTTATTTCCTTCCGAAACTCGTAAAGCATAACATGCCGTAAATGCACCTTATCGATACTCATTTTTAAAGTGATATTTCTCGAAGCAGTTTGTATGAAAACAAATGATTTTTTTTTTAATAACAGCTGAAGACGTCACCTTTCCAACGTTATATAATATGTAGATGGAAGTATTAATGACAACACTTTACGACGCTTATAACTCCATCTATTGAAACTCCGCACGAACTTTTGCACTCACCTAATATATTCAATAAGATAATAGTTGTAAAAATAGCATAATGTCATCGCGAAATTACAGAATGTTCTGAACTTTGAACAGATAATATAAATATATTTAAAATCACGCATATAACACGCTATTTGCTATATGCAATATAAATCCGCCTTTTGTTGTAATTCGATTTGTCATTGCTAAATAATAGTTCACAAACTCCAAACATGTCTTTACAGACTGCCTAAAGTGAATGTTCTAACCAGTGACAGTATCCTAATTCATGACAATTAGTCTGTTCTTTTTAGCTATATTGTTGAACTGGTGCAAGTTACGGCGAGAAAAGCTATAGTTGTTTCACTTTAACTTATTACAGCAGTATAGTTGTCTCATTTTAACTTATTATACTAGTTCAACAGCTAAAACGAGCAGACCAAATTATACATATTTTACTTAATAAATCGGCTAATACCAGTTTATATTCGTTTTAAACATCTGTTTCTGAAAATGAAAATGGCTTGATAAAAAATTGGCAACTAATTTCAAAATAATTTCACTGCTGTTTAGCGATAAACAGCTATATTAAAGACATGGATTCGTCAGACATGGAAAGTATCGCTGTTTTGCAGCACCATTGGAATAAGTTTGTCAAGCTAGAAGAAGACTTTATTAGACAATAAAACGATTTGTTGTCCAGAAACATAACGGTTTCTTGGTGAGCAGTTCGAACGATCCATGTATATCCTGACACATTTTGTATACTGCCAATTTTACCGCCAAGTTTACCGCCAATATTTACACATGCATGTATGTTTGTATATCATTTTCAAATGTTATATTATTATAAAATTAATAATTTTTTTCTTTCCAGAATCCATTTCATTATTTATTATACAGCATACTAATATCACAAACACCTTACGAAGATATGATTGAAACATTAGACAAATCTATGTCAAGCATGATATCTTGTCCAAGCATGGTCATTTCTGCTTCAAATCATTATATGGGTAAAATATGGAAATGGATCAAAATCGGTGAAGTAGTTATCAAGAATATAGAACCGCTATCGATTTGGCCAAGGTAATTATGTGCGTGCATATTATCACTTATATTCATCTCGCATCTGTGTGCACGCGAGAGGAATATAAACGTGAAATCTGTTTAACATCGGTTTTACAAATCAGAAATATTTCTGACAAATGTTTAGGCTTTTCAACAATTATAACGAAATCATTGAATTTCTTCTCAATGTATACATTTTATTTCTGTTTAGGAACAAAGAATTGCATAAGCATATAAAATTATTTGGATTGGGATTTAACTGCGAACTGTACATTCCGGGATATGTTAAATTAAACGACAACGTATATGTTCATTTTCTTTAAGATAATTAGAAGATGAAAAGCAAGGAAGATACTAAGGAAAAGAAACACACAAACTCTCTTTCTCTCTCTCTCTCTCTCTTTCTCTCTCTCTCTCTCTCTCTCTCTCTCTCTGTGTGTGTGTTTAACACAATCCCTTTGACATGTTATTAGTTTGCAGTTTGTGCCGGTCGCTTTTACCTTATTTTCTACGTCTATACTATGTTGCAATATTTTATAAAAACCGCAGAATATTTTAAAAACTTATAACAATATTTTAAAAATGTTTTTTAATGTTTCACTGGAAATCTGGAAAATCCGATATTATAATGACGAAGTCATGATACATCTTTTAATTATATCTTAATAATATCTTAATTATATCTTAATAATTTTCAAACGATATTACGTATAAATCTCTCATGTCCATACACAAAAGTAGACGTATATGTGATGTATTTATCAATTACCTATTTGTGATGTTTGGAGAAACTGACATTGATTTTCGTAGCTTATCCGATTGCGTTTTTGAAGCTTTAAATACTTTATAGCAATCAACGATACGAAAGCAAAACCTTGAGATATTCACTACAATAGTTTATTTAGAGGCTTCTTCCTTATACAATGTCTCATATTTTTTCATATAATTATCTAAAATAAACTTTGTTTATGTAAACAAGAGAAGAAAAATTATCGCTATCACACATATGTGATACTGATCTCTTGTGAGCAAACTCTCGTGAGATTAAAGCTGGCGTATATATAGCGACCAAACACATGTACTTTTGCGAGTCTTAACGCGTACGATATTATTATTTGTAAAATTTAATCGTTTATAATTCAGAAAAAGGACTTTGATTTTATGATTTATCTTTGGTTCTTTTAACATTGTTCATATATATTTGTACATTATAATTGTCGATTATGCAAAGGAATTCCAACAATACATTACATACTATTCTTTTTCTTGACATAATTTTATGTATCGTAATTTATATGATTATAATAAATAATAAATAATTATTGACATGTAATTATATTCCATGTTTTATGTAATATGTAACTATATAATATGTAATATATTATATAATGATATATTATATAGTGATTATATTATTATATATATTATAGTATTATATATATAATCCAATAATTAAAATATCATTGTCCATCAAATAATACACAATCATAATGTACCAATATCTACGTACGATACGTAATTGAAAATTTCTAATGATCTTGTGCCTAGGGAATGTCAAACATCAAAATTGACGTATATACAATATTCAAATGTCGAATCTTATGAATCTTTGTGCGTAACATTCTGCGTGACATACATTTATTTGTAAAATTAAGTTACTTATAATTAAAAAAAGAAATATTTATATCGGGATGATCCGATGCTTTATGAGAAAAAAACTTACGCATTATGCGACCTATTTACAGACCACATTATGTCTAGAAACAGTTAAATTTTAATTTTTTTTCAGTCTTGACATCGATTGCATTATTACTGCAATATGCTAGTAAACTATCTTTGTAATTCCTTTTTATCTCTGTACTTCTTACTGTGAAATACATAATCCAAATTTAAAGTTGATATGCATTTTATCGTAAAGCAGATGAATATATTTCTACATGAACTATTTTTATTCATATTTTAATATACTTAATATATTACAATTTCATACTATGCGCATTTAATGAGTATAATTGGAATACAGTTAATAAAATTGCATTGCTTTCTGCCAAGTTCAAGTTTATAACGAGTAAGTAATATTGAGCAATGTTTAATATGTAAATAAATATTCAAGAGATGTTAATTTGTTTATATTTATCTTTAGTAAAGCGAATCTTTAGCTTTACTAAATTGATCTTGGATCTACTGTATATTAGAAACGGAAATTTTATAAAGATTAGTTAATATGCAAGGTTATTAAAGGTAATTACAAAGGTTTTTGCTAATCTTCGCTTTAATCTTCGTAAAATTTCCATTTTTAGTATACGGTAGAATTAAGTTAAGTTAGATTAGGCTCGTTTAACTTAGTGTTAGGTTTGGTTTGATTAGGTTGGCTTGATTTGGTTAGGATTAAGATTAGGGTTTGGTTTGGCCCTTTGCAAATAATTTCTTATCATTCCTATAATATATATTTAATTTCAATAAAATTGGTGAGGTGTAACCATTTATGTATCTTTACCTTTTAAAACTTTAAAGTCATATATCTCGGAAACTATAAGTGACTTCCATATAATTATATTAGGAAAACTTAGAATGTAAGATGAAAAAATCAGAGAGGTATTACCTTTTATGCATATTTACCTAAGATATATATATATATATATATACATATACCCATAGCTTTATTAACAAGTGTATAAATCTATGGGGACATAGCATATCAATCAATGCTGATGTCAATCCTCTGACGTTATTGTGTTTATCGCATTGTTTCCAGATTCGCACGCTTTTGGAAATACCACATTTGTAAGGCGAACGAGTCGAAAGAAGTCGATTATTTCTCTTCTATCTTTGAAAAAAGTCAGGTGAATAATTTTCTGAATATACAAGCAAATATAAAAATCATCGAAAAGGCAAAACGCTTATTGATATATCATCATATGAAGTGTGATACATTTTACAGAAATTACTTTATTATTTATATAAAAAATTTGTGTTCGTTTCGTTTTCCTTCTTTAGAATATTTTTCAATTCTTCACTACATGAGAACTTCATTATAGTAACTGCAAAATCTCAGACATTTCCCTTTATTCTCTGGAAAAAGTTTCTTACCAATAGAAATATTTATTTCATATACCTGCATCGCGTCCGTTAGAATATATTTTGACACGTCGAGGATAGTGGGCACGGAAAGAAAATCCTTTGAGACATTTGTCCTTTTGTCAGGCCTCTTCCCTCTCCAATGTAAGAATCAGAGGCCATAGGCGTGACATTACATCAGCCCCTTCCCTCCTCCCCACAAGGACTTTCTTCTATTGTATACTACAACGAGTTCATATCTTCAGCAGAACTGTCGAGAGATACAAGACCCATGTGTTTCGGAATAAGAATAGCAAGTTTCACATAAAACAATACTAAAATGAAGTTATTACATAGAGTGACGATATAAGTTATCATAGAGAGTAAAATATAAGTAACAGTAATAATAATAATATTAGACATACGGATAATTTCGGTATGAAAAGCTTCAGTATACCGCGATTTGTGCGATTAGGTCGAACATGTAATCTCGGTAATATTATTGTATGAAATTCGGCTAATTCGGCAAATTTCATTTAAGGAAAATCCCATAGCAACTTGTGAAATATCATTTGTATGACAAACTGATCACGAACAAAAACTGTTAAACAAGAGTACCATTAAGTGATATTAACGTAACGCACCATGAGCCTTAACATTATCCATGTAAGTCATATTTCTCGTTTATTATTTTTTTAGGTTGCTTATATAGATTTGAATGTGAGAAGATACTTATTAGAGTAACTAATAAGAGTACATACTATACACATATATACATATACAATAACCGAAAAAACAATTTCAAATTTAGATGTAAGACTTTTATCAAAGTTGTTCAACGTCTCTCTCAGTTATGAGTGGAAATTTCTCTTTTGCAATTTCTATAAGTTACTGTATATTATCTATAGTATAAATATACTGTATATTATGAACATATGTTGCAAAAATCAACGTGAATTGCGTTCAAAGCAATATAAAATAATACAGGATAACTATTAAAGAATACATCATGGTAGATGATTTTGAAACATAACTCTTTTAACACATATATAATATATTATATATAACACATATACATACGCGTGCGCGCGCGCACATATATATATGTGTTAAAATATCTATAACATATAAACATTTAACATATATATATTTTTATTTTATTTTAATGCGTATATATATTTTATACATATATATTTAAAATGCAGCGTGCAATAGGAGGGATTGTATGCGGATTGATGGCCGTAACAAACTCGGTATTTCCGAAAAGAAAAAGAAAAAGTATATTCAATATCGATACCGATGAAGAGGAATTAATACCAGAAGTCGCATCGAATGAAACAAGTTCGTATTTCGAAAATATAACTACTATTAAATGATAAATGCATGAGATAAAATGATCTTGGAGAATGTACTCTTTGATGCACATGTTGTTCCAGATCTTGTGAAAGGTATTTCATTCAAACCTACTAACTCCCTAATTATGTCCGAATTAAAGAATCTAAATTGGGTCCACGTCGGTAAGGTTGCAAAATTACACATATACTCATTGTTATCTGGCAAACCATGTCCTGCTGATCAATGCGAAATAACGTTTGACGACATGCACTTATACAAAAAAGGCGAATTGATAAATTGGAGCCAGTTAGTATATGAAATTTATATACTTGTTTTCTTAACAAACTGTCGACGTAATAATTTTTCTTATTATATCGTAATCTGCTAACAATAACGTTGAACTTTGAACTACGTGCCATCAGGTCATTCGTAGTATATAATAAGAAAACTAAATGCATGGTGACTACTAATAATTTCCCGGCGTTACGCGAAATAAGCTTGTGGCTGGAGGATATTTACGCAATATTACAAGCTACTGGGATGCCCACATTACGCTTCGTGTTAAAGAGTAGAGGATTCTTCCACTGTATTTATTCGCGCTGCAATGAATTTCAGATATATCCGAAACTCATTTGCACCGATTGCGGCGACGAAGCGGCCGAATGGCTATGCAAGTATGTAGAAATTTCAAAGATCTACTGCAGATCTACATCTGACATCATCTGTACATTAGATACATGTGAAGGGATTTACAGATTTTTGTACTGCAAAAACTCAGATCTACGTTTGGGATATTCCTTGAACAGGGTCAATTGCATCAGGACGTACTGGCAACCTTGGATCGGAGATGACATGTTGTGCTTGGGGGTCATGTCTGACGAACACAGTTTGGTAATTAACACTAGTAATTATTAATTAACAGTGAGTAGTTATGGCTGATTCATATTTCGACGGTGACCGATAACTACCGATGAAAATATTATATTATTGTGTCTTATATTTCGTATGACGTATTAGGAGTACAAATAAGTTTCCGCCGTTTTCTATCAAAAATTAGGAATTTATTGTGAAAGAACAGTACATTACGTTTTATTCAAAGTATTGTCCATCACTAGCCACTACTTTTTCCCATCTTTCTGGCAGCATTCGGATACCACGTCGGAAGAACTCTTCATCTTTTGAGGCTATCCACGAATCGATCCAATTTTTAGTATCTTCATATGATGTAAAGCGCTGCTTATACAGGCCATGTGCCATCGACCGGAACAAGTGATAATCGGAAGAGGCAATGTCTGGTGAATATGGCGTGTGGGGTAGGACTTCCCAATTAAGTGTTTCCAAATAGGTTTTGACCGGTTTTGCAACATGTGGCCGAGCGTTGTCATGTAGGAGAATAATTTTGTCGTGTCTGGAGTAGTAATGGGCGCGTTTTTCCTTGAGTGCTCGGCTCAATCTCATTAATTGTGTTCAGTAGAAAGCTCCAGTAATGGTTTCGCTCGGTTTGAGCAACTCATAATACACGACACCAAGCTGATCCCACCAAATACACAGCATGAGTTTTTTCCATGAATATTCGGTTTGGCTGTCGATGTTGAAGCATGGCCAGGTGGTTCCCATGATTTTCTCTTCTTTGATTTATCGTAGTGGATCCATTTTTCATCACCAGTGACTATACGATGCAAAAAATCCTTTCTTTTATGCCTGGCAAGCAGCATTTCACACGCAAAGTCGGCGTTCAACGTCTCTCGGCTTCAGTTCATATGGAACCCAATTTCCTTGTTTTTTAATCATTCCCAACGATTTTAAACGATGTGAAATTGCTTGTTGAGTCACTTCTAATGTAAGTGCAAGTTCTTCTTGCGTTTGGCATGAATCTTCCTCCAATAATGCTTCTAATTCCGTGTCTTTGTACACTTTCGGCCTTCCACTACGTTCTTTGTCTTCCACGTCAAACTCACCGTTTTTAAACTTTTGAAACCACTCACGACAACTTCTCTCACTTAAAGCAGTCTCACCATATGCTTCTACAAGCAATCGATGCGCCTCAGCTGCAGATTTCTTCAAATTAAAGAAGTAAATCAAAAGTTCCCGCAAATGACGCTTATTCGGCACAAAACTTGATATTTTCGCACGAAAAAAATTATGTGATGCTGATACGGAGTCACTAATACTTCAAGGTTATGTTGTTACCAGATGTCCAAACTTACGATATTACGTTTTACATCTGATAATTTCAACATAACCTTCTGATGGGGCCATCTTTTGTCAAACGGCGGAAATTTATTTGTACTCCTAATATAACTAACTAATTAATTAATTGCATTCAAGAGATTATACGGTCTACAAAGGGTGTATAGCCCATAAAGGTTGTACAATCCATAAAGAGCCGATGAAAGATAAATACATCAAATTAGAATTATTTATTTACTATATCCTTAGTAATTCAGTCGTCAGTTAAGCTTTTTATTTTTAATAGAAAACAACGCGACAATCAATATATCGAGTGGTCGAGTTTTCTTGATATTTGCATACATGTATGTATCATTCAAATTGTAGTTATTTGAATAATATTTTACTGAATTTTATGATCAATTAAAGTAGGAATTTATATGAATGAAAAAATATTTTACACTAATTAATATATTGATTTGTATTAGCGATACGCTGTCAAAAAAATATTTTTAATCATTTGCATTGTCAACTGCTTTACTTTAAAAGAAACATACGTGCCAAATTGGTTGACAGTCTCTCAATAAAATTGTCCTAAGTTTAAGTAAAATCACAGATTATAACTGGTTATAAATATGATCGCGAAATTATCATAGATTATAATTGACTGTTGATAATGGATTTTTTTTATTTTTAAGAAATCGTGCAAGAGCAGCACTATTTAATTTAAAATATGTTTAAATATACATAAATATAGAGTGTGTTTAGTACAATACATACATTATTTTTACATATGTAGAATCAAACTGAACAAAAGAGTCCTGCATCATTTTATGAAAGAAGATAAAAATATTTTTAGATATTGATTAAAGAAAATCAGCGAATAAGTGGATCACGATGCGATAGGAAGTGCTCTGCAAGGTAGTTTGAAAAAATACGTCTTGGGCTTGTTTCTTTGTTTCTTGACACCGTCAAATATAGGCGCGAGGCTAAAAGAAATGAAAAAGTGATTATATGTGATGTGTATATGAATTTTGCTTCTACATAGCCATATCTACAGGATCTTTGAAAATTCAAAATGCACCTATCGAGTACAGGTAGATTGAGTGAACAGAAGTGAACAGAAAATTCTACTATTTTTTGGAAACAACCATATAAAATTTCGCGATATTAATAAGAGAGGATTAACTAATCAGTGATAGGATGGAATAAACTCTCATGAGCATGATCTCATTAAAAATAACTTCGACTTGTTATCCATTAATATCTCAAAACTTTATATGGTTTTACAAAATAATAGAGGAATTTGTGATTCAATTCGAAGTTCAATGCAGTTTTATTTATGCACAACGAGTATGTCTTGAATTATCAAATATCCCATATAATCATATATTGAGAAATTAAAAGTTACTTGAAGCATGGTACAGATTTGGCCGGGGGAATCGAACCTGGGACATTTCGCTTTCCGGGCGAATGCTCTTCCAACTGAGCTACCCACATAACACCATGCTTCGATATATCATCTTCCTTTTATTCAAGACAGGAAAAGTTCATATGTCTCAAATTCAAACATACTCGCTACATCAACTGGTAAGAGATGAGAAATTAAGAGTTACATACAATCATATATAATTACGTGTATATATTTGTAAGGAAAAAAAATGCTATTAAATAAAAAAGGAAAGATGATTTCAATTACGATATAATTAACACAATGAAGCATTGGTATCCTTTACAAAAATATTTTACCGTTTTTATCCTCATATTGCCCGTTTTTAGCCCGTTTTTATTCCGTTATCTGCCCATTTCTTCATTTTTATGTCCGTTTCTTGCACTTTCAAGCCCTCGCAGCGTATAGAGCGAATAATTATGACAAATATACGTGAATATGCGCAAGTATGTATGAGTATTTTTAAGTAGATTGCCCGTCTTTAATACTCTTTTTTTCAGCTGATGAGTGGCTGCATGTTAATACGTACCTCTTTTACTCAAGACGTTGAAATAAATTGAGTAAAAACGTACGTATTAACGTTCTGTTACTCGCAGCTGAAAAAAGAGTATTAAAGACGGGCAATCTGCTTAAAAATACATTTTATGGTACGTTTTAACTACTCGGATATACTCGTTTTTACTACTTGACAATCCGTTTTCACCACTCCGTGTTTAAATAAAAGTACCCCTTTCCGACCTAAAAATGGTGTCATATTCGTTAAGTTGAATGCATATTTTTTACAACTCAAATTTATAATCAAAATCGATTTTTGAGGGCTAAAAACGGTGAAATATTTTTGTAAGGGCTGTCATAAACATAAACATTTATTTTAATTGTGTTCGTATAATAATATTCTGTTTGAGGTATGGAAAATATAACTACATATGATTATATTAAATATTATCACTTCGACTGTTCAACAAAGCACATTTTACAGCATCGCGCTCATCGATTTGTCAGTCTTCCATTGTTAATATCTCCGAAATTGTCGTAATTGTTTTTAAAATGTTAAAAGGTTTTTTCATTAAATTTGATAAGCTCTACCTGCGTATGAACATTGCTACATTTAAGTCAAGATCTTCTATATAATGCTTAATTAATTTAACGGTATTTATATGTAAATTGTCAACGTCGTGCGAAACTCTACAAAAAATGCTCAATACTTTAGTAAACAATATATTATCGGTTCGCTAATCGGTTTACTATGTATAATTTTAAAATTTTATACTTCTATCGAGACTTTCTATCTCTTCAGGGTCCGTTCATAAGTGTATTAAATAGCGAGAACACACCACAAGTACCGAGAGAAGATCTATCTGAAGCATTAGAAATATACGATCCACTAGATATGATTTGTCCAACGATCGTCATTTTTGCTCACAATATGTACACAGACAAAATATGGAAATGGATCAAGATCGGTGATGTAATCATCAAGAATTCAAAATCAATAATAGTTCAGTCAAGGTAATTACATATGTGTGTATCATTATTTAGATCATTTGGATTTCTCTCGCATTCGCTTGCATGAGAGAGGAAGACAGACCTGGAATCTGTTTAATATCGATTTTCGACAGTATTTGTACGAATCAAGAATATTCCTAACAAATTTTGAGATTTCGCTACAATTACCGAAACTTCAATTGAATATATCTTTAACATATACATCTTTTTTGTTTAGTTTTAAGGAAGAAGAAGTGAATAAGGCTATAAAATTTTTTGGAATAGGAGTTAATAGCATTGTGTACGTTCCGGGATTTATTAATTTAAATGATAATGTATACGTTCATTTTTCCTAATATAAGAAAAAAGCGGGCGATACAAAAGAGAAGTTATTTAACCCGATTCAGTATTATTAATTTAGGATTCATACTATTTCACCTCTCTATATAATGTTCAAACATTTTTTTTATATACTATGTTTTATACTGTTTCATATTTTTTTATATACTATTATTTTAACAACATTTTTTCATGTTTCCTTAGAAAATCGAGAATTTTAATATCAAATTGTCGAAATTACGGTACATTCTATATCATGTTTGACTATAATATTTGTATAATATCGTATGCAGATCTATCGCATCCATATCTGCAAGTAGATATGCGCTTAATGTACTGATTAGTTATTTATTATTAATCTTAACAAAATCTGATATTGATTTGAACTAATTTTGTTTTTTAATGTCTTGTAAAGCTTTAAAAGCTCTGAGTATGTTATAGTAATCATTTTTCGAAGACAAAGCCTTAAAACGTTCGCTATTACGGTTTATCAAAATATTGGCCTTCTCATAGACTAGTTTTTATATTCTTTATGCGACTGTACCAAAGTTTATATAAATATATAGGAAAAATATATGGCTGTCACAAAATGTAATCGGCGATCGGTACTTCTACGTGTGACGAAGGTAGCGAACGTATTAAAAAGTCGAAAGATAGAAACAACCAAGATGTAAAAATAAATAAATAACAGATGATTAACAGATTTATATATAAATTGGCTTAATAATAGCCTTAACGGCCTTAACACAAATTATATCTTTCCGGAACACATAATGTATATTTATTATTCCCTAAATTTTTTTAGTGAAATTGTACTGAAAAGCGTGAGTACTGAAAAGTTAAGTAGTGACAATCGAAGCACGCAAAAATGACTTCTCAATTTTCCGCTTTGAATCGTTAAGTGAATATTTTTATTCGGTACTAAAAATCGATCTAATATATTCCATTGTTATAAAAACGAATTCATTCTAATCGATTGAATTATTTGCTTGTGTAGAAAATAAGTTCGAGTGAAATTTTTGCTTGTTTTAAACGAGGTTTTACTTAAAGAAATTTAGACAACATGGAAAATTTTTATATCATATAATTTCATGTGTTAACATTATTATGCCAATTTGTGTACAATCGCCTATATTGTTCTTCTGACGCTTACTAAATACACAGTTACTAGAAGTTTTCAATCATACACGTTATGTACATATTCATACATTATTATTGCTGTTATTCAAAGGAATAACAATAATATTTTGCATATTATAATATGTAGTATAGTGTAATTGAATAATATATATATATATATATATATGTAGTAAATATAATTGAGTATTATCATTTCAAATTGTTCCATTTTCTTTGAATATTTAATTGTTATAATGTACGAATATACAAATATAATTGAAAATTTTTAACAATTATGTACAAGAGGTCCCAAAAATTCAAGATATATCCATCGTATGCAGATAGAACGGATGAAACTGAATAGGGAAGTCATATACTATTTTGAAAATTTCGAAATAATTATTACGAAATTAATTATAAAATATAAACCAATAAGAGCACAGAAAATCTGTGTTCGAAAAACATGCTGATAATATACTCCCCAAACGCATCTTTGTATGTCGTCGTACTATATTTTTCTCTTTCTATTAGCTGAGCTGTTGCCGCGAATGTGCTCATTAATCTGACCTTGCGATATTGACAAAATTTAATTTTCATAATCTGGAAACTTTTCAGACTGTTAAATTATAATTTCAGATTTATTCAAGCATTACAATGAGCTGTTATGAATTATTGTAGATACTTTTTAGACATCTTATATACTTTAAACGAGAAGTTCACAACTTTCTGTAATTCATAAGTGTATATGTCCAATATGACAATTTATATTTCTTCACTTATAGTTGTAAAAAAAAAACCATTCATTTTTGTATTAAATATTCTTAAGTATTATGCATTCTAAGGCATGTAAATATTTTAATTTATGCTGTGATATTAATTTAAGTTAAATTGTAATATTAAATACAAAATAAAATTTTAATATTCTTTTGGGCATCCTAATATTGCAGTATTTTTATAAAATACACAACAAAGTAATATTTTATGATACGTTAATTTAATAAATACTTCTTAAGTACTAAGTGAATAACTCTTAATAAATTATTATTATACTTGAAACAATATCTATTAATTTATATGCATCAACAGCTTTATTCTATTTAAAGTAGTAATTTCTCTTTCGGTAAAAAATAAGTGTATACGATTATATATGAATCTTGTCTCTATATGTTCATACATAATTATACATGATTATATAGGGTGTTCCATTTTAAGTATCCACCCCAAATATCTCTCTTATTTTTAATTTTAGAGAAAAATGGTTCAGATACGTTTTGTATGATTTCGAGGGGCCATAAGATGATACCATTGATTTGACTTTGAAGAGTCATTTGAAGGTCACGTGAAGGTTACCTCAATTTTTTTAGATGGCACCCGCTATTTTTTATTACATATTCTTGTAGCTGACCTCCGAGAGCTTCCCAAAACACTATAATCAAATGTTTTTTGGTGAAGTACTTTTCGAGTTATAAAGCTCCAAATTTACAAAATTTTGATAAAAATACAAAATATTTTGTAAAACATTCACTTTCCGATAGTCTTATCTTACATGATCCAACCAGTCAAGGTAAGATCCGAGCATGATCCAACCAGTCAAGGCAAGATCCGAGCATGATCCAGCCAGTCAAGGCAAGGTCCGAGCATGATCCAGCCAGTCAAGGCAAGATCCTAGCATGATCCAGCCAGTCAAGGCAAGATCCGAGCATAATCCAGCCAGTCAAGGCAAGATCTTCTTCTATGTACAATTACTTAAAATATTCAAAAACTTGGCCATTTACTTATATGCATAGCTCTAGTCTATGGTGAAAGTCGTCCCTAACTTTTTCAAGAACACCTACATTAATATTTCTGCAAGCCTGTCTGATCCGGTTTTTCATATGTTCAACGGTTGTAGGCTTTTGCGAATAAACTATATCTCTAATGTAGCCCCAGAAATAAAAATCTAGGGGTGTCAAGTCGGGTGATCTTGGGGGCCATTCTTGAACTCGGCTGTCCATACCAATTCACCTATTCGAGAATCTATTGTTTAAATATTGTGTAACAGCTCGAGATCTATGAGCCGGTACTCCATCTTGTTGGAACCACATTCGTCTGAGTAAATCATTGTCGACATGTCTCAAGAGGTTGGGCAGGTCATCTTAAAGAAATCTTAGATAGATTGCCGCATTGAGATTTTCTTCAAAAAAATATGGACCAACAATAATATCTCCCAGGATGCCTGCCCAAACGTTAATGGACCACTGCCGTTGGAACTCTTGGCTTCTCTGCCAATGTGGATTAGCATCTGAATAATAATGGCAGTTATGTCTATTAACGCCTCCTCTATTACAAAACGTGACTTCATCAGGAAAAAGCGTATCAGCAATGAACCGGGGATTTTGTTGGATTTGATCTCGAGCCCAGTTACAAAAACGTACACGACGTTGGTAGTTCCTCTCTTCCAATTGCTGAGTTAGATGAATGTGATATGGGTGAAACTTGTTGAGTTTGAGCACACGATTGGCTGTTGATTTAAATATACCGTATTGCCTCTCAATTTGTCTCGTAGAGATTTGAGGATTCAAAGCAACGGCACCTATAACAGTCAATGATGTGACTTTATCAGGGCCCGATTTTCGCCGGTTTCTTCTAAGAAAACCCTGTTCAGCTCTGTCGCAGTCTTTTTATTACTTTCCTATCAGGATGGCGTTTGTCTGGAAATTTTTCAGCATAAAGCCTTTCTGCTGCCGAATAGTTATTCCGGGCCTCATCCAAAATGCGAATCATGTCCACAATTTCATTTGGTGGATAAGCAGCCATAATTATAAAGAAAAAAAACGCCAAAAAACCAAAAATTCCTGTCTTATAAAAAAAAAGTCAATGGATAATAATATGCGTCTGTCTGAGACTTCGCCAAAATACCAACAGTTGCCCAAGTAAGAAATTTGAAACAAGCCTCTTGATATTTGTTTCATTAAAAGAATTGACAATTGCACTTTCACAATTGTTACAGTTCATTGATTATCAGGCAATACAGGATCTCGTCTTGACTGGCTGGATCATGCTCGGATCTTGCCTTGACTGGTTGGATCATGCTCGGATCTTGCCTTGACTGGTTAGATCATGTAAGATAAGACTATCGGAAAGTGAATGTTTTACGAAATATTTTGTATTTTTATCAAAATTTTGCAAATTTGGAGCTTTATAACTCGAAAAGTACTTCACCAAAAAACATTTGATTATAGTGTTTTGGGAAGTTCTCGGAGGTCAGCTACAAGAATATGTAATAAAAAATAGCGGGTGCCATCTAAAAAAATTGAGGTAACCTTCACGTGACCTTCAAATGACTCTTCAAGGTCAAATCAATGGTATCATCTTATGGCCCCCTCGAAACCATACAAAACGTGTCTGAACCATTTTTCTCTAAAATTAAAAATAAGAGATATTTGGAGTGGACACTTAAAATGGGACACCTGTATAGGGTATCCCATTTTAATGTTCCACTCAAAATAACTGTTCAGTATTGAAGTTTCAAGGAAAATGATTTGAATAAAAGTTGTAGAGATATAAGTGAGCTACCTTATGATGATCTTGACTTTGACCTTGACCTCTATTTTGAAGGTCATTTGAAGGTCAACTTGCGTTTTTAAATGGGAACCTTTATTTTTTATTACACTGTTTTTTCGACTAGTTAATTTGAATAACTTTTGTCTAAAACATTTTTTGTTTAATATTTTTTGAGATATTTGAGGAAAACTTGATAATTTTTTCAATATTTAACTTACGATATCTCGCTAACTATTTGTCGAAAGAAAAAGTGGTACTAGACTTTCTTGCTTTATTTAGTCTCAAGAATATATTGTTACAATAGCGCTTTGATTTTTGTTAACTTACTGATTTTTGGAAATATCAAAATCGTCAAATTAACAAAAATCAGGGCGCTATTGTAACAATATATTCTTGGGACTAAATAAAATAAGAAAGTCTAGTACTACTTTTCCTTCCGACAAATAGTTAGCGAGATATCGTAAGTTAAATATTGAAAAAGATATCAAGTTTTCCTCAAATATCTCAAAAGCTAATAGATAAATAAAAAAATGATTTAGACAAAAACAGTTCAAATTAACTAATAGAAAAAACAATGTAATAAAAAATAAGGGTTCCCGTTTAAAAATGCAAGTTAACCTTCAAATGACCTTGGATATAGAGATTAAGGTCAAAGTCAAAGTTATCATAAGATAGCTCACTTAAATCCCTACAACTTTTATTGAGATAATTTTCTTTGAAACGTCAATACTGAAGAGTTATTTGGGGTGAGACATTAAAATGGGATACCCTGTATATGTTTATAATGAAAAAATATTGTCTTATATACATATATTACATAATTCAGGTAACTGTATGCTTATATTTATTACACGTCATGATATAAATATATGATTAAATAAGAATATTTTTTATTTTCTTTATCTAACAACGCTTTTTCAGTGCGAACATAATTGCACATAATTGCATATAATTATATACATATATATATATATAATTACATGCAATTATATTCAATTCACAAGATATATACACATACATAGAGAGTTTCATCATTTTATTCAATACATGTAAATAAAAGAAGTTTTTCAAAAAATTGTTTCAGGCAAAAGTTTTATGGCTTCGAGGGAGAAAGATGATGATATTATCAATTTAATTATAGATGGCACCACCAATTTTAATTTATGAGTAATTGACTTTAATTATAATAATTATAATTATAATAATTAATTTATTAATAATTGAAATACGATATATATATATATATATATATAATCTTATGGCCTTCTCCCATGGTATCAATCACAGTCGCAATGAATTCATATTTCCTAGCTTATCTCCAAATCTACAGAAGCCATGCGTAATAGCTATGCGTAATCTCTTAGAATACTAATAGCGCGCTCCACAAAAGCAATCCTTAAATATTGGCACGACACATCCCAGCTGTTATTACGCAGACTAATACAAAGATGTAGGTAACGATGATAACAATAACACGTATGCGGACGATCTCGGCATCAGACGACATAGCTTCAGTATACCGCGACAACTCGCCCGGTCAAAACGAAATATAATCCGAAGTGATCAGTAAACTTGGTAAATTCGTTAGACTCTATTCAAGAAGAATTGTGTAGTAACTATGTATATATAACCACATACCGCTTGTGCGACGAACCAGTGAATACAAATAGGAACTGTTACAAAAACGAGATTGACACTGATATTAGATAAATTATGAACGTACATATTGTACAAGTAAGTCATACATTTCGCTTATTTTTTCAGTATACATCTAAATGCGAAAAGATGCACGGAGAGAAACATCTCACAGTTCGTGTAATTGAGTAGGAAGCAGACGAAAACTCGGTGACGAGAAAAGATTTTTCTATTGCCACGCAACCGAAGATATTCGCTTGAATATTCGGGCTCTTTAAAACTTGGTTAACATTTTGACAGCCATTGTGATGTATACGTGATTTCATCCTGTCAGTGACTATCATCTTATAAGCAAATATTTCTTGATAACAATAGTTTACAATTGTACGAACTATATAAAGAGAACTGTATAAAGTTAAATACATATAGATTTATGTACGTGGGAGATATTTGACTTATTAAATATTATTTCTAAACAAGCTATCAAAATTAATTGAAAGCAATCGACAATTTTCCTCACAACTGCAGTCGTCAAATTGTAATTGAAAACAGTTGACTGAATGAAAACCTTCAATCATAATTCTGCATTAAATGGTTAACAAATTTTGATCGATTACTTAAAATATTTAAAATTAACATCAAGCAAATCGTACATTTAATAATTGTTTCAATCGATTACTTTGATTTGTTTGATCATACACTGATTAATTGATTTTACGAACTGATAAAATTATTCATAATTAAACATATAACAATTAATTAATTTTGATTCTTAATTTGTCGGTACTTTAGTCAACTAAGATTTTAATCAATTAATGCCCAACACTGTCTTTTATAGAAACTTTTCTGGTTCTAAAATCGAGTTTTAATCTTGACTCTAAGTAACAAAAAATTGATTATACGAACTAATTTTTTTTGTGCTTATTAAGATGACTAACATAAAATCACTTGTGCTGCAAGAACTGAGAAATCAATTTAGAATTCGCGAACCAAGTTTTTCTTACAGTAATGTCAATTAAGAATGCAAACATTTCGCCATTTACATAAGTACATAAGTCAGTGAATTACATTCAAAGCGGTAAAACTGATGCAGGATAACTATTAAAAGAGATATATTACGCCCGAGGATTTTGAGGAATAACTAATATAACTATCTATTTATTTGAAATGCAGTATGCAGCGGTTGCAATTATTTGTAGCTTGGCATCCGTCACGTTCTGCATGATGGCACAGAATAAGAGGAAAAGACTACAGGCAAAAAGCAGAGAGAATGATATAAAAACACGAGAATGCAAATTACAAGGTAATTCGTGCAGAAGCTATTAAAATATAAAACTCATGTCATCGGACTCTTTTGAAATATGTACCTTTTTCCATTTACATACGATTTGTTGTTTTAGGTTTCACAAATCATACTTTATCGAAAAATGTAAAGAATCACAAACGTCATCAGTCATCGAAATGGGTAAAAATTGGTAAGGTTACGAATCTTCACGCATATCCGTTGGTATCAGGCAGACCAAGTGCCGTTGAGGAATGCCAAGTAAAATTTGAAGGAATGTACATGTTCAAGTACGGCAAATTGATAAATTGGGACCGGTTAGTATAGAATACGAGTATTTGTTTTATCAATGAATATCCGCAATATTACTATTTATCACAACATAAGCCGCTGTAAAAAACGTTAATTTTTAAATTTTGTTAAATACCACCAGAGCATTTGTAGTGTACAATATGAATACCAAATGCATAATGACCACCAGTAATTTCCCATCACTACATGAAGTGAACTTGTCGATCGAGGACAATTATATAATGTTACAAGCCGCCGAGATGCCTACATTATGCATCAAGCTAAATGATAATGAAATTATCGAGTGTACTTATTGGTGCTGTGAGAATATACCACTCCCAAAATTTGTTTGCTCCGACTGCGGTGACGAAGCGGCTCAATGGCTATCCAAGTATGTGTCTAGAAATTGTAAAATGTTAGGAAGTTTGAATTAATTCTGGTTTTATTTTGTTAATTTTTTATCATTATTTTAAAGAAATAGTTAAATTTCCATCAAACAAAATATTTTCCGTCGTTAGCTGTGATTTTTCCCATCTTTTTGGCAATATAGTGATTCCGCGACAATAAAACGATCTTTCGAAACAATCCAATCAGACACCTATTTTTTCACATCCTCATAATTATTGAAATGTGTATCTGCCAAAGCGTGTTGCATCAATCGGAATAGATGGTAATCGGATGATGCTAGGTCTGGAGAGTATGTTGGGTACGGAAGGATTTCCCATTCGGGCTCTAACAATGTTTGTTTAACGAATGAAGCAACATGTGGACAAGCATTATCGTGCAAAAGAATCACTTTGCGTCTGTTGTTACCTGTCATTGCCCTTTGTTGCATCAATTCATCATTCAATTTGTTCAACTGTTGCTGGTATCGCTTCCCCGTAACTGTTTCATTCGGTTTTAGAAGTTCATAATACACCATACCTTCCGTATCCCACCAAATATAGAGCATTGTTTTGTGACTGTGAATGTTCCGTTTTGATGTTGATGTTGACGGTTGTCCTGGATCAATCCATAATCAACAAATCCATAATTTTTCTTCGCTTTGGATTATCAAAATAAATCCACTTTACATCTCCAGTTATAATTTGCCACAAAAAACTCTTTTTCTTCTGTTTGGCAAGCAAAGACATGACAATATTCAAATAAGTTGCAATGGTATTTTCACTCAATTCGTGTGGAACCAATTTGCCTTCCTTTTGAATTTTTCCCATGGGGTGTAGGCGTTTAGAAATTGTTGCTTTTTCGACATTGAGTCGTTCAGCCAATTTTCCGTTTGAGCGGTGTTTTCATTTGATAAAGCTTGCAATTCAGAATCTTCGAATTTTTTGGTTGACCAATACGTTTATTGTCACTCAAATCAAAATCTTCACTTTTAAATCGTTGAAACCAAAATTTATAGTTGGAATACGATGAAGCTTGATCATCATAAGTTATAACAAGCCTTTCATGAGCTTCAGTTGCCGATTTTTTCAAATCAAACAAAAAAAGTAATGAATGTCGAAAATGCAATTTTGTACGATCCGTTTTAGACGCGTATAAACAATATAACTATCAGTAATAATAACATGCAAACTGCCATATGTCATCGAGAAATGTCAAGTCTTTCAGTGTTGCCAAATTTCAACATTTGTACTAACTATTTGTTATTAAAGCCATCCATTGCTAGGGACCAGAACTAATTCAACTTCCTATAATATAACGGTATCTGACATGAGTATATTAAATATGAGTGACATGATTTACAGATTTTTATGGGGACGAGATACCGGGGTACGTTTGGGATACACGATAAACGCCGTCGGTTGTATGGGTATATACTGGCAACTTGTACTCAGGAATTGTATATTATACCAGAAGACGAATCAAATTAAATGCAACTGGGTAATTAAGTAGTAGTAATAGCTGATTAATTAATTTTCTCTCTCTCTATCTCCCTCTCTCTCTCTTTCTCTTTCTTCACTTTAAAATATGTTTGAGTGTAAAATATTAATAATAAGATTTCTTGATAATATAAATAAATATTATGCAAAATAATGTTAATATTATGCAAAAATATCCATAGAACGTGCTTAATACTTTAATATAAAAATTACACTAGTTTACAAGTTTCGTTCTAATGTTCGCTGTGCTTTAATCTGTCATTTCGGTTCGATAACGAGGGATTTAAATCTGAGTTCGAGATATCTTTATCAGATCACGTTTTGAGATGTAAGATTATGTATATTTTTTAGTATGTAATGCATTTTTATTGAAGTTAGAGAACAAATTAGAAATATGTAGTGTTCTATTTTTGTCTTTTATATGAATTTGGATCTATTTTAGATATTAAAGTTGAGTAATAATTACCTCCAGCATGTTTTTGTCCAAACATACTTATTAAGAACATCCCTCAATTGCCATCAAACTTTGGTAGAACCGCTTGCCTTACACTTCACTTATGTTACCTATATTATTCGGGATGCAAAAAAGGGAATGTTTACTTATATACATTACGCGATAATTTATTTAAACAAGTTGCACAAAAGAACTAGACAAAATTATTAGCTGATATTTCGTTTGAACAAAAAGCTTTGCTGCTGACGATACATTTCAGCATATTTTATAAGATATTTGTTCTTCGCATTTATTCTAACGACTTTCCAAACAAAAATAATAGTCGGTATCGTGATTGATAAGCTGTCTCTAAAATATAGAATAACGTAAGACAAAGAAACTTTCTTTCCGCTTACTCAGTTATATAAAATGGTGTTGTAATTATTACAAAAGAACTGTAATATCTATTGCAACTGCAATATCTATTGCAACTGCAATATCTATTGTAGCAAATATAACTACAAATACAATAGTTTGGACATAATATTCTCGACATTTCTATGGCATTTCTATAATATTAGCCAAAGTAACAAATCCGTGCAATATTTTTATGAACAAACAAGCATACAAATCATGTAACAGTATAAAATTATTATCAGTTAAACAACAACGCTACCAGCATATTATATCTAAAAAATTTAACCTGATGAATTTTTTTAACGACAGACTTATATTTAGCACTAAATACATTAAAAAATTGTTTACATTTCTTGTGCCAAAAATTATTTAAAATTAGTAAACTAGTGTTATTTTTATATTAGATACGTCCGTTGAGTTACCACTGTATTATGATATCAAAACGTTACATATTTATCACAAAAATTAATACGTTCCACCTTTTCAGAACTCATTTATAAATGTGTTACATAGCGTGTTAATATCACCTGTACCGTACGACAACATAACTGATATATTGAAAATGTTTGAGCCAGGCGAGATAATTTGTCCAAACATTGTTATTATGACGTCGAATATTATTATGGAGAAGAAATGGGAGTGGATCAAAATCGGCAACGTAATCATCAAAAATACTCAACAATTAGTTTGGTCGAGGTAATCTCGATATATTATTATTTGAATTCCTCTCGCATCTGTTTGCACATGAGAGGAGCACAAACTAGGAATCTATTTAGTATCAATTATACGAACTAAAAGTGTCTCTAACAGACTTTGAATCTTCTCGCGATGGTCGCAACAAGATCTTAATTGAAATTTGACTTGACATATACATAATTTTGTTCGTTTCAGGAAAAGTCCGAAAATTGCGTACATGAAATTATTTGGTTTGGGATTTAATTGTGAATTATATCACACGGGATGTGTTAAATTAAATGACAACGTATACCTTCATATTGCCGACGATGAAAGTATAGAGGAGAACAAGATAGAAGATATTAAGATAAAGAAAAAGTCTACTTAACGCGTTGCTTTCAATATCGCTATTGTTTTATACTATGTTGTATTATTGGTTATTGGTCTTTGTTAATTGCTTGTAAACTTAATTGCAAAACGATTTATACAATGAAATTATACAATGAAATAAGGAGTTCCTCAAATTTTTATGATTTAGTTACCACTGATAGGCGCATATGCAGTAATTGGTTGGGATAGAAGCTAAAGCTTTAGTACACGGTGTAAATTTTGGATCTTTATTACTTATCCGGAAGATTTATTTGAAAAATGACACTGTAAAAATACGTTTTTGCTAAAACAGCGTTGCTACTTCCGTTGTTGTGACATTGAATGTTTCATATACTATCATTTTAGTTTTTATTATAACCGATTACTGTACAAACCCATCAGCAGCAGCTCTTAATCGTAATAATTTGACGAGTACTTTATTGTGTCTAAATCGTTTTGAAAATATACACTTGTTTGCATAACAATTTTCGTAAATATTTTCTGATGAAATCAGGAACACATCAAATGGTCACAATTGCGAATCACCACTTACGAGCTTGAACGCTAATTAGGAGCTAATTAGTGGCAACATATAGGACAACTGACGTTGCAAATACCATGAGGGATTTATGAAAAACGTAAGTATCTTTATTATATTATCATCTATCAGGTGTAAATATAATAAAAATATTTGACTCTCTCTCTCTCTCTCTCTCTCTCCCTCTCTCTCTCTCTCTCTCTCTCTCTCTCTCTCTCTCTCTCTCTCTCTCTCTCTCCTCTCTCTCTCTCTCTCTCTCTCTCTCTCTCTCTCTCTCTCTCTCTCTCTCTCTCTCTCTCTCTCTCTCTCTCTCTCTCTCTCTCTCTCTCCTCTCTCTCTCTCTCTCTCTCTCTCTCTCTCTCTCTCTCTCTCTCTCTCTCTCTCTCTCTCTCTCTCTCTCTCTCTCTCCTCTCTCTCTCTCTCTCTCTCTCTCTCTCTCTCTCTCTCTCTCTCTCTCTCTCTCTCTCTCTCTCTCTCTCTCTCTCTCTCTCTCTCTCTCTCTCTCTCTCTCTCTCCTCTCTCTCTCTCTCTCTCTCTCTCTCTCTCTCTCTCTTCTCTCTCTTCTCTCTCTCTCTCTCTCTCTTCTCTCTCTCTCTCTTCTCTCTCTCTCTTCTCTCTCTCTCTTTTTTTTTTTTTTTTTTTTTCTCTCTTCTCTCTCTCTCTCTCTCTCTCTCTCTCTCTCTCTCTCTCTCTTATTATAACCAATTATCACATAAACTTACAAGCAGTCGCAAGTGTGATTATTTAACGTACTTTTAATTTTATTGGAAAAAAATAAATGAAATCCATTTCTTTTTGTACACATAAGTGTACTTTATCTTCATCTCTATACGGTGTCTTACAAAAACTATATAATATTCTCTGAAGTGCCATTAGAAATTCGAAAATTAGGAATTCGAAAATAACTTTAATATTTTATTAATATATTGGCATTACACAATAGTTTTTGTATCATATGCGATTTTAATTTACGAGTGATTCCGCATATAGATATCGTGCGTCCATAACCGCAAGTAAATATACGTATAATGTATTAATTAATTATCTGTTATCTTGTTATCTTTCCAAAATCTGATATTGATTTTTACGGCTCAGCTTATTTCATTTTTTGGCTTCTCAAGATACTATATATGCCATGGTAGTCAAATTGCGAAGGCAATGCTCTAAGAAATAAAAAGTTGGAAACAGCTAATTATCAGAAATAAATAACAGATGACACGCAGAGCTATACATAATACACAAATGTAGGTACTCACGAATCGCAATAGACGGAATCATCGATCAAATTTTTTATCACTAATGATACAAAAACGCAAATTTTTTGTTAACATTTTTTACTATGCTCAAGCAACAGAATATGCTGTTTCGTAAATAATTCTAAAAAGTTTCGTAAATAATTCTAAAAAGTTTCGTAAATATTTTTAGATTACATCGTATACAAAATAAAATGCAGTCTTGACAAAAATTTATATAAGATTCTACATGAATTTTATTTCTATATAGTTTCTATATGATCATATACGAACATATACAATTATACACAGTGCCCGATACCTTTGGCAAACAAAAAGTTATGGAGATTAATCAGATTAAATTGAAAGAAAAAATTAAGTACCATTTTGCAAAAATCACAAAAATCGCAAAATAATAAAAGATTTTTTTGTTTAGAATGACCTAATCTGTAATTATATGACGTCTATTGTGCCTAGCGACAGGTTCAAGATTCAGGGTTCAAAGTTCAATATACTTATACCTATCGCTAGACGCAATAGTCATCATGTAATTGTAGATTAAGTCATTCTGAATAAAAAAATCCTTCACCATTTTGCAAATAAGTACGCAAATTTTCAAGTTATCGATTAAAAGAGTCTCTAGATGTGATCATTTTCAATTATTAATAACTTAATAATCATTGCGATTTTTGCAAAATGGTATGTAACTTTTTTCTCAATTTTCATCTTTGATCATTTTCTGATTATTTACATTATATTATATGCATTATCATATAGCGATAAAATTCATATATGAATCATATATAATAATATATAATTTATGTATAATTATATATGATTTATATGTAATTATATATTTAATTTTTTTCGAAATGTAATTATTAATATTTTTTAACAGTATATATTTTTATCTGTCGACATTGACAAAAAATTATCACAGTAATAAATTACTGCCTTGACATATTGTTCTTCCTTTCTCCTTTGAGTAATTATTAAATAATGAACCTACAATGTACATAATCAGAAAATTCTAATAATCTAATTGCAACACATATTAAAGCTGTCATATCAAGTTGTATACTTGTCTGCAAAATAATTTAAACATATTTTTTTCAATAAAGTTAGAAACGCATTAAAGTTCATCATTGCGAAACACTACTTGCAGGTTTCTGTAATAATCAGTAATTATAAGAATCAAAATATCACAATACACTATGTAAATATTGTTTTTTTATTATACACACACACTCTGATCCAATAGATTAGAATATAATAAAGATACTTACATTTTTCCTAAATATTTTGTTACAGTTGTAACGTCAAATGTGTATATGTGTATACCAGGGAAAAATAATTATATATAATTATGTAAAATTATATATAATTATACATAAATGATATATCTAATTATATACATAATTTATATATAATTTTATCTTTATAATAACATATTGTAACTATATATAATATATATAATATATATATATATTGTAACTATATATAACTATATATGTCGATGTGGAAAAAAGTTCTGCTAAATAGAAAAGAGAAAAAAGTAGTTTGATTTAATTAAACGTCATCATTGCTACAACCCTTACAGAAATTTATTACTGGCTGTAATAAATTTCTGTTAGAGAAGCATAAGCATTTACTCCGATAAAAAAGTGTTATTTTTGCAATAGCATTCTTTTCCGTAAACATATATAATTATATATAATTATATATATACGGCCGTATATATAAAAACAAAATTCATATATAAACATTTTTCCTCTGTCACTTTGTTCCTCTTATAACAATTTACTGTGCAGATTCGTGAATAATGGCTCACAATCATAACCATTTAATATACTTATAATTTTATTAAAAAAGAACATTCAAACTATTTTGCAAACGAATGTATGTATATTTTAACACAAAACAAGTGAGTTTACCTTTATATTAATCATTATTGAACAAATGGCACGTAGCAAAATAAAAGCGGAAAATTTGAAAGGATTGAAAATAAGCGAATTAATCTATCATATTTGGCAAATATCGAGAATATTATAAAAATATCATATTGAAATTCTCGATTATGATTGGACAATTCGCTTGCTGCTTAGGTCTTCCGGCTTATTTTTTCTGTGTGCTATGGTCTTTAGGATTATTACTGTTTTCTTTTATACTATGTTATGTTATTATATATTCTGTTGTATATCTTAATATGTTGTAATTTCAAAAAATTAACACGTGATAAGACAATATAGTGTCATTAAATACATTAATTAAATATTTCTTAATATTTTATATAATCATTTTTATTTTTTAAAACAATATTTTTATCATTTATGCTCTGGCAACGCATTATGTTATCCGTAACGAAACGTGTGGACACATTATTATCACTTTTCTGCAATAGAAAGTTATTATCTTGATGTAAGCCATTATTTATAGACACATACACAAGGTTACTTGTTATTAAATATCAATTTATTAATCCACTATTATTACTCGGTTTAAGAATTTCATCATTAAATAGACACATAAAATCTTTAATAGTAAGTATAGTACAATTAATATACAATTAATAAAACTTATTGCCTTTTTCCAAGTATCATGGTTTCCAATAAGTTTATATTTTCAGGCTGACCTTCAAAAACTACCGAAGTCGCACGTGATATTATGTCTTCTTAAAAATAGCTAGTTTTATAAGAAAAAAAAACCCAAAACATCACAGTGTGAACTCTTCACCCAACCGTTATTACATAAAGTAATACAAATATATAAATAACAACAATAATAATAAAATTATGTATAGACGATATATCGTGAAAACTCGGTTAGTCCATTTCAAAAATACGTAAGATCGGGAGACAGTAAGATCAAATCGCAGAAGAATCGTGTAACGTTTCTCTTAAAACGCATAAAATTTGCATCTGAAACAAATAAATATTAGTATAAACAATGAACTTACAGTTGACAATATTATTAACGAAACGAATCATGACCGAACGTAGCATTAGGGTAAGTTATTCTTCGGTTTATTACTTCTTTTGATTGCTTGTATACATCCAACTGTAAGAAAGAATTTATTGAGTAGCTAATAAAAGTACTTGCTGCAATAAACGCGATTGAGATTCCTGTGTCGCATTTTCTTCGATGCTATGTACCTGAGTTTCAAAATATTTTGAACATATTTGTTCGGACAGTAGATGTGTCCATTGAGAGAATAGGTTCTCTTATTGAAAAAATATTCAAAATGTTTTGAAATTTAGTAAAAATGTCGATTGCAAATGCGAATTTTGCTCGGAATTAAATTCTATTGCAGTCGGGATGGTAATAAATGACGCACAATTGTTAGAAAGTTTTGAGGAATAATCTTTGTCACGATATTTTTGAAACATAGGGATCGATATTTGCAATTATTTGTGGCCTGATGACTGTCACGTTTGGCGTGATCATGAAAAATAAACGGAAAGGGTGGAGCAGCTGTCAAGCAGAAAAGAATGAGACAGATGTTAAGCAGAGAGAAGTGGAATCGAAAATCAAATTCACAATAGGTATAGTTTATGTTTGGGGAAAAACTATTGGAAAATAAGCGATAAGATGGTTTTGAAGAATGTATCTTTCAACGAACGAATTTGAATATTTTAGATGACAAAAAACATAGTTCATTAGAAGATAAAGTTGATCACACAGTTATTCCCGATTTACAAGATCCGAAATGGATCTTAATCGGCAAAGTGACAAATTTGCACGCTTATCCATTGATCTCGGGCAAGGAATATGCCGTTGATGAATGCAAAGTGAACTATAAAGAGATGAACATGTTTGAGGAGAGCATACAGATGAAGTGTGATAGGTTGGTATGAATATACATTTATTTATTTCATGAATTATTCGCAGTACTATTGGAAGCGTGTAACATATCGTGTAATTTTGCGCGTTGTTACAAATGGTTGAATATTTAACGCAATTTATCTACATAAGCATGATTAACTTTCCTGTTAATGCACGGGTGTTTTGAATTTCGCATAAACCATCGAGCATTTCATCCACAGATTTTTATATACTAATTTGCCGATTTCCCATTTTCTGTAACGTGTCTCAAAAAAAGATGAAAAGGCATGAAACGGATGTAGAACGCTATATCATTTTGAATGTATATAGTACACAAGGTAATTGAAAACATGTGAGTACCATTATTGATTACAAACAGCACATGTCTATAGACAATAAAAATGTACTCAAAGTACATGAAAAAGAAAAACAAAATATAAAAGGCATAAAATAAATATTTGTGGTTTTAATAAAACGAAATATAAAATACACTACTTTTCTAATCAGGGTAGTCGTGAATGGATCACATTATACCACATCGATGTGTAGATGGTAGAAGACATGCATAGATGATATAAACGCATATTATAAACACTCAAAATGATGTAACGCTTATCTCCAGCTATTATTCTATCATATAAAGTCAGCAATCTAGTTATAGCAAATTCGGTCATTTATGCCAATGCATACTACAGCCATTTTCATAGCCTTATATTTCACTTTAATTTCATATTCAGATATTCGATGAGATAAAATGCTTTAATAAAACAATCAATACAGTATCCGAATATAAACCTAAGATGATCATAAATATAACAACAGACTATGAATATAGTCTGTTGTTATTATAGTTTTAATGCGCATTGGTGCGTTCTAATGCAAGCGATCATTAAGGGAATTTGTTATTAATATGTATAAATCTATGATTTAATCGATACGGGTTACGTATACTAAGTATCTTTATTATGTATCGGATATTTTCTAAAGCACAATAGAAAAATATTCGAGACTTAACAACTGTTACGGTAATGTTATGTATTGAAGTATCCAATAAGTATCCAGATATTTGATGCATTGATGAAAAATTATGCATTGGTAAAATGATTAAAAGAGTTCAACTCAATTAAAAAACACATTTCCTTATAATTTTACGATAAATAGGTCCGTAATTGCTTTGTCTTGCTTTAACTGGTCGGACGATGTTTGGTCTTGCATTAACCGGCTGGGCAGCATCACAGTCTTACTTTCAGATCGTTTTTAAGGATTTTTGAAGTCCTTTTTGTAGTTTGGGAACAATTGTGACGTTCCAGGGTGATCATAGTATATAATTTAGACTCGATGAACCAAATACTAGTATTAGAACCTATTTCGAATGGCTCTATATCCAATACAGTATCGGAGTACCCGCTTTTGATCGTTTTTAGAGGTTTTCGAGCCGTTTTTTGGGATTAGGTAAGAATTGCGACGTTTACGGGCAATTCTGGTCTTAGATTCGGATTTAGCGGATCAAAATATATGAGCAATCGTATTTTCTGTTGAAAATTTGGAATTTCTCATGATTTGATTGAAAATATATTATGGTTCTCGTGCGTCTTTAGGTATATTTAGTACCATCTGGAAGCCACCACTTTGAATTTCCGGAAAAGCCATGTTGCTTCTGAAAGTATTCGAGTAGACAAACAATTCAAGCTCTCATACGTTCCAATACGATGCGTCAATTTTTGAGGGCGCTGGTAATCCGGTTGACGCGGGACGTACCATATATCAGGTTGTCTAAAAAGTATTGAGTTTTTTGCTCACGAAATAACGTTAGTGTCCCAAATCTCAGGATATATGAGTCGCAGCAGGTCAGGCCTAACGTCATTTGACAGCTGACAGTTGAAGCTAGTAGACGTACAAAAAGTGTTGGAATTCTTATAATCAGACGTAAGGTATTGCGTCGTGAAAATGAATGAACTTTCCGCAAAACTGTGCTATATTTTACAATTTTATTTCGATAAAGGTGCAAATGCTGCGCAGGCCGGTGAAGAAATTTATGCTGTTTATGGGCAAAATACGTTATCAAAAGCAACAGCCAAAAGATGATTTAGTCGTCTTGGTTCTGGAAATTTCGATGTCCAGGATGCTCCTCGCAGTGGGCGACCAATCACAGAAAAAGTGGATGATACTTTGGCAAAAGTCGAACAAAACCGGCATGTAAGCAGTCATGACATCGTCAATGACCTAAACATCCATCACAATATAGTATTAAATCATTTGGAGAAAACTGGCTACAAAAAGAAGCTCGATGTTTAGGTGCCACATGATCTGACTCAAAAAAATGTACTCGATCGAATTTCTATCTGCGAATCTGTACTGAAACGTAACGAAGCGAACTATTTCTGAAGCGGTTGATCACGAGTGATGAAAAGTGGATAACCAAATTGTTGTCGCACAACAATGTGCGAAAAAGATCGTGGTTGAAGCGAGGCGAAGCTCCACAGTCTGTGGCAAGACCCACACGCCCAGGAAGATTATGTTTTGCGTCGGGTGGGATTGGGAAGGGCATCGTGCATCACGAGCTGCTGCCGCCAGGCAGACTCGGATCTGTATTGTCGATAATTAGCGCAATTGCACCTAGTAATTCAAAAAAACGACCAGAATTGGTCAACAGTAAGGGTGTATTATACTATGCTGACAACGCCAGACCGTATACATCTTTAACGACCCGTCAGAAATTGAGAGAACTTGGCTAGGAGGTTTTTATGCATCCACCCGGACCTGGCACCGTCAGACTATCATTTGTTTCTGTCTCTGCAGAACTCCTTAGGGGATCCTGGAGTCGTCTGTTTTACCGACACATTGATTCAATCTTCTCAAACATTATTCTTTTTATTAGCTGGACAGCTTGGAAAATTCTTTTGCACAATGAAAGTATTTATAATAACGAAGTTCGGAAGACAAAGTTTTATGTAAAATTCAATGAAAAATTACAAAATTACAGTTTTGTTATCATGTTTTGTGTCAGCTCGTAACTTTGCTTATTAATTATAAAAGTTCTGCAGTTTATCCATGCAAAAGCTTTTGCTTCCGGACTAGTCATAATATGAAAGAATAATACTGAAGTAACAGAAATGAGTTTAGAAGTCAGTGTAAAAAGAATAGTGTTTGAGAAAAATGTAATGCATACGGAATTGTGTTTGCTACATTTTTGGATAAAACAGAACAGTAGATTAGTTCTGCATAATGGATGGAGTTGCGGACAGACACAATCGTACTATCCTTGTCTGTTTCATGCATGGAATAATGTTATGACAAGGAAACTGTAATTGTTAAATTTTTCATTGAATTTTACATAAAACTTTGTCTTCCGGTCTTCGTTATTATAAATACTTTCATTGTGCAGAAGAATTTTTCAATCTGTACAGCTAATAAAAAGATTAGAGTTTGAAACTTTCTCGTATCTTTGTTCCCTCGATCGCACGCTCATTAGGTTGCATTCACAATCAGGCGGAAAACGTTGTTATATTTCACACGTATGTTGTACACACCAATCACAACCTCACATATAATGTCTTAAATTAAATTAGATATATATATACATATAAATATATATATATATATATATATAATTTAATTTATAACTTACGAAAGTTGTCCCAAAAGTAATGCACAGTTGGCTCTAACTAAAAAAATATTTATTGAAGAAGATACAAGTGATTACAGTACCTTCAATATAATCTCCTCCTTTATCAATGCACGCTTGCCAGCGGCGCGGAAGTGCTTGAATTCCGTTCAACGTCCCGTTCTTATTGAGCATCCGAATCTGTCGGGTCACTTCTCTTCGGAGCACTTCCAGCATCGGAAAACCCCCCGAAGGGGTTCCTTCATCTTGGGAAAGAGAAGTTAGGTGGGCTCAGATCAGGACTATGAGCTGGGTGGCGGAGCCGTTCCCAGCCGTATTTTTCGAAAAGTTCGATGACCGGTGCACCGATGTTTGCTCGGCTGACAAGAAGTGCGGTACCCACCGCGCCGCCACCTTTCGTTTACCTAGCACCTGTGTTAAAATGCGATGCGCGCTCGTTTTCGAGATTCCTGTCTCCGCCTCGATTTCTCTTACTGTGATTCTCCGATCTTCGTCGAGCAACGTTGCAATGATTGAAGCGTTTGTGTTGTCAGCTGTTACAGTAGACGGCCGCCCCGCACGCAGATCGTCTTCGATGCTTGTTCGACCTTCACGAAACTTCGTGTGCCACCTCTGTACTGTGCTACGACTCACAATAAACCTTCCACACGCTTCTTTTAACGCGGCTTGAATTTCGGGCATTTTTTCACCGCGCACTGTTTCGATGCGAATATACGCACGTTGCTCTGTTGCTGAAATCCGACCCGACGGACTGTTCTCGTTGTCTTTCCGAATTTTTGGCATTTTCCCTTTAAACGAATCCCACTACCATATGATATTACCATATGACAATACCAACGTGCTCTTGAGACTTCAATCTACACACTGACGTTTCGATCAGCTGTCTACGTTGCCTACAACGCCCGCTAGAGCGTGCTGTTCATTACTTTTGGGACAACCCTCGTATATATAGGGTCATCGAAAAGTATCGGTCTCCCCTAATATCTTCAGTTAGAATGCATTTTGGAGAAAATGTCCAATAGCAAAGTTGTATGGTTTCAAGCGGGGAGTAAAATGATGACCTTGACTTTGACCTTGACCATGTCCTTCAAGGTCATTTCAAGGTCAACCTTATTTTTTTAAATGGAACCCCCAATATTTTATTGCATATTCTTATAGCTTATCTCGAGAGCTTTCTAAAAGACTATAATAAAACATTTTTCATTAAGTACTTTTTGAGTTATAAAGGTTTGAAGTTAACAATTTTTTGACACAAAATGTAAAATATGTTGTAAAATATTATTTAGTTTTCAGTAATTATAACCTTAATACTTTTGTGCGCGAAATAATCAGACCAATTAATTGGTTTAAAGAAAATACATTAATAGAAAAGTATCGGCTCCCCCTAATATTTTCAG